ACTGACACCAAAGTTATTTCCACCCACGGGATGTGTCAGCATCCTTCTGTTCTACAACTGCTCCTTTGGCTTTCTGCTCCAGTGACTCAGTGCGTGGCCTCACGCTGGAGCTGCCCAGCGCTGGGAGCCCACTGACCTCCCTGTGGGGCTCCCCTCGCTCAGAGGGAGACCCTCCAACTCTTGATGACATTTGGACTGAAATGTTGACATTGGCCTTTAGCTTCCCACTCTCACCTGCCCCCTAAAATCGGTGAAGAGCTGCCCACAGCCAAGAGCAGAACCACAGCCTTTCAAAGCTGTTCTTATGCCGCTTTGAGCAACAGCCACTGTTGTAACGTGCCATGTTTAAAGGCCATTCCGACATGATTTCCCCAAGAAACCAGAGAACAGCAATGCAGGCACTTTGGATTTGTGGAACTCGGGCAGCTTTTAAGCAGATGAATTCTCAGAGAGATAATCCACGTCGTGAGATGGGTGGGCAGGAGACCCGAGCAGCACTGAGGGCATGGATGACATCCCCGATCGCGGGCACGGTGCCGCCTCGCTCAGCTCCCCTCTCCGTGTCCCTTCCAGCACGAGGACGGACCAACCTCGAGCTCCGGGAGAAGTTCATCCTGCCGGAGGGCGCCTCGCAGGGCATGACGCCGTTCCGCTCGCGGGGCCGCAGGTCCAAACCGTCCTCCCGGGCGGCGTCCCCAACGCGCTCCAGCTCCAGCGCCAGCCAGAGCAACCACAGCTGCGCCTCGATGCCGTCGTCTCCCGCAACCCCGGCCAGCGGAGCCAAGGTAGGGGCGGAGGGAGGGCCTTCCTGTGGCAGCCCGTTCCGTGAGACAGACGCTGCAGCGCCAGGAGGAGGAAGGTCGTGGGAGGGGTGCGTGGGGCGGCCTGCAGCTCAGCCCCGGGTGGGACGGCGCCCGTCTGCGGCGGTGGAGCTGTGCCGCAGCCTGGGGAGAGGGGCGCCTGCTCCCCCCACCTCATCTGCCATGTTTCATTCCATCGCCCGTTCGTTGATTTTTTCATTATTATTTATTTCCTGTTCGGTTCTCATTTCATTGTAGTTCTCTTTTCCTCTCATTCTAGTTTACTTTTCTGTTCCATCTTTTTTTTTTCACTCACTCCTGCCTCTCCCCCCTCTCTGGGTTTTCCATTCCACAGACTCCTCATCACTTCTCTCGATGTTATGACAAACCCTGGTTGATAAACAGTAAAGCGGGCTCCCCGCTGCGGGGATCTGATTACCCCGACCTCCAGCTCCCCAGCTCTGAGGTAGGGTCCTCTCCCGCAGCCCCAGGACCCGTTGTTGCAGGCGGAGCTCCCGGCTTCCATCCGGTAGCGCAGCGCTTGCAAGCACTGCTGGCTGGTAGCATTTTTCATGGGTTTCTGACTCGGACCAAACCAAGCCTCGGGATAATGCTCACAGCACGCATTTCTCTGATTGCAAACCAAAGGATTGAGCATTTACTGTGTGCCCTTAAAAAAGAAAAGTCTCTCAGAGCTTTGGAGCATCCCAAAGAGGCGGTGATTGGCATTCAGATGGCCGAGTTCAGACGTGAAAATCAGCTACAGCGCATGCATGGGATCCACTTTGCTCCAATGCACACACGTGGGGTCTGCGCTGCACTGGGGGGCGGCTTCGTTCCATCGGATGCAGCTCCTTCCTGGGGCTTCACTGTGTGGATGAAGAGTGCCGGGGGAGAGGGCGATTCTCTGAGGGGAGCAGCATAACTTGGTGGTGGCTGGAAGTGCTCTCGAGCAGATCAGGCCGTCTTTGAGATCAGCAGAAGGTCGGGAGCACTTTGTGCGTTGCCCTGCACTGCCTGCTTGCTGCTGAGCTTGTTTCTGATCAAGGATGAGAATCGAGGTCTCTGCAGTGGGAACGGTACCTTCACAATCACACCATAACAGATCTGAATTCCTGCTGGGGTGGAAGGAGAGCCCACTGCTTGGCTCCCCTCCTCCTGCCTACCCCACCCTGGCTCCAGTTTCGGGAGATCCCAGAGATCACACAGTGGGGCCTCACGTTGCTCTGAGCCACACTGTGGGGCACAGGACAGCAGCACGAGAGGCTGGGGCTGTCCGTGTGCTGTGCCCAGCACTCCCCAGGATGAGTTTTGCTTCATTCCAGAAACTGGAGCTGCTGTCCTGGGCTGGGGCCAGGCTGTGCCTCCTCCCCTCGCTTTCCTCTGCAGCAGTGGGAGCGACGCTGCGGGTTGTGCTGCTTCCCCATCTTCCTCTGCAGCATCTTAAAGGTCACGGGAAGCACCTGTGTGTGGCACAGCCTCGTGCCCAGAGCAGCTGGCCATCGTCCTCAGTGCCCATTTGGTCCTTCTGTCCGCCCTGCCTGGCCGTGGGTCGGCTCTGAGCTCACAGAGCTGCAGTGCATCCCTGCAGTGGGATGCTGGGGTGTGGAGCCCAAAATTTTGCACTTCTCTTTGCTGGCCCGATGCTGCCGTTGTCCCATGGAAGCAGCTTTGCTTTGTTTCAGCCCGCAGTGCCGTCAGTCATTTCAGGCCCCGCTTTGTTTTTATGTTACGCCTTTTTCTAACCGCTGCCAAAATGCCACCTCGTGCTCCCCCTGGCCGTTAAGATGGATGGGCACCGCGTCGCGCTGCTCTCTGTGCCGCGCTGCTCAGCGCTGCCGTCCCTCCTGCAGGTGACGCCGGGAGCGGGCAGCAAACTGAAGCGTCCCACCTTCCACTCCAGCCGCACCTCGCTGGTTGGGGACACCAGCAACAGCTCCTCGCCCGTCTCCTCGGGGGCCAAAAGCGGCCGGGCAGGTAAGCGGGGCAGGGACCGACCGGGGCCGGGGGGGAGCGGGGCGGCGGGCAGAGCCGGGAGCTGCGGGCTGGGCTGCGTGCGGCCGCCTGAGGGCTCCGCGCTCCCTGCAGACCCCAAGAAAGCCGCCAGCCGCCCCACCAGCCGCGCCGGGAGCCGCGCGGGCAGCAGAGCCAGCAGCCGCCGGGGCAGCGACGCGTCGGACTTCGACCTGCTGGAGACGCAGTCTGCGTGCTCCGACACCTCGGAGAGCAGCGCGGCCGGCTCCCGGCGCGGCGCAAAGCCTTCCAAAATCCCCACCATGTCCAAGAAGACGAGCACTGCCACCCCCAGAACGCCGGGCCCCAAGAGATAATGCTGCACCCGCGCCCTCCGGCCACGCGAGCCTCACCGCGTCCGATTTTTAACCCCGCTCATACATTGGATGTATATTTATTCTAAATGGGAGAAGCTATATTGTTAAAAGTGTAAAAGAAAGTCGTGTTATGGAGCTGCCTTACTTGGTTGTTTTTTTTTTCTGTTGTTTTTTTTTGTTTTTTTTTTTTTTGTTTTCTTTTTTGTAAGTTACGATTTTCATGTGAATATTTATGTAGATAAAAACAAAAAAACAAAAACAAAACGTTGCCTCTCGGTGCCCGCAGTCCGGAGAGGGGCGGAAAACGGAGACGTGGGAGAGAAAAAGAGAAAAAAAGGAAACAAAAAAGGTCAAGATGTGAAAGTGTACAAAAGGCGGAGGTTTGAACAGGATCTCTGCGCGGTGCAGGGGGCGGACCTGCGCTGTCTTTTAGGATTGTTTCCTAAATGCATCTTTATAAACTTAACTTGCTGTCTCAGCAAGGTAAATTATATTTAAAAGCAAAGACCTGAATCCTACAGTGTTCAAGGAACTCTTTTTGTAAACCAATACCTCAGGCGGAGACACGCGAGGTGTGGGGACTTCTGGGGGCTTCTGTTTCCACGCGTTCTTTTTTTTAAGCGATGCGATTTTACCCGGGCTCTGGGATGGGATTCGCACGCAGCACGGCTTGCGGCGGCCCCTTGCAGCCGCTGTGCTGAGCGACGGCTGAGCGCCTCTGGGCTGTAAGGAGCGCTGGGGGCTCGGGGCCGCTGCGGGTTGGGATCCCACGTCCCACGGCGGCGGCGGGTTCTGCAGGTTGGAGGATTCTTCTGCTGTGATGACCTCAGACCGACCCGGCGCCTTCGCCCGCACCTCCTTTCCTATTTATTACTTCTCCGGCCATCCCACTTCCAACCGGGCGACCTCTGCTCCTAGGAGAAATCTGGACTTTCGCGCACAGCTGCTTGTCCTTGAAACGAGTCTCACCAGCACATCGCTGCACGTCCTGCCCGGCTTCTGTGCGCCCTTTGTAATGGCACCGAACTGAGTGGCCGGGGGCTGCGGGGAGTGGGCTCTGCGGAGCCCCTGTATTTATTGAATGGTGTTCCTCTCCGGCTCTGACCGTGTTGCTGTGTGATTCTCTCAATTGGTTTAAATTGAGGCAAAAAAACCCTGAAGCTCTACCAATGAATTGTTTAAAAAAAGAAAACAGACACATTTTTGTATTACGATTGCTTGCGGTAATAAACAATCTTGCCTCCTACCTTCCTCCCAAGTGTTGGTGTTCCGCGTTGCAGGCGTTCGTCCCGCGCTCCCCGAGCCCCAGCAGGGCAGCCCTGCACAACCCGCGTGCAGGGAGTGCGGCAGGAGGTTCTCGCGTGGATCGCAGCGGTGCGGGGACTGAGAGCAGCTGAGGGGCGGGTGCCCATGGGAGGCAGGCGAGGTCCGTCTGTGCGGGCAGATGCACGGGAGAAGTGTCTGGGGGGGGAGCGAGTGAGAGGACCGTCGAGGCTGGGTGTCTGTGGGTCTGAGTAGGGTTGGATGCCCGTTTTAGTTCTGTGAGGTTAGACGCTCATCGTGTTGGGTGCCCACAGGGGTAGATATCTGCGGGTTTGGGTGCCCATAGAGGTAAATGCGGGTTCGGGTACCCACGGGGGTAAGCGTTCGTTGGTTTGGGTGCCCATAGGGGCGTACGTCCGCGGGGTCAGGCGGCCATGGATTCGGGTGTCCGTGGGAGGACGGCTGCGCTCCGTGCCGGGCGTGGAGCACCGTGGCCGGGGCGGTGCCGCCGCCGGGCCCGTCCCTTTCCCTCTCCCGGGTCCGACGCCGCGCGGGGGCCGTTCCGCACCGCTCCGCACCGGGCGGGGGGGGTCGGGGCGGCGGTGCCATGGGGTCGGGGCGCGGGGGGCGGCTGAGCGCGGTGGCCCTGCTGTGCGCGGCGGCGGTGCTGTGTCAGTGGGGCAGCGGCAGCGTCCTCCGCCGCCGCCTCCCCGCGGGGTTCGCGCAGCGGCGGCTGAGCGGCGGGGAGCGGCGGGACGTGCAGCGCGAGATCCTGGCCGTGCTGGGGCTGCCGGGGCGGCCCCGACCGCGCGCCCCCGCCGCCTCCCGCGCCCCCGCCGCCGCCGCTCCGCTCTTCATGCTCGATCTGTACCACGCCGTGGCCGGAGAAGAGGAGGAGGAGGAGGAGGCGGTGTCGCGTCCGGTGCTCACCGGGCTCAGCACCCAGAGCCCTCCGCCGGGCAGCGTGGTCAGCCACGCTGACACCGTGGTCAGCCTCGTGAACATGGGTGAGTGCGGCGCCGGGGGGCGCCGGGGGGGGAGGGTGGGGGGACCGGGACGGAGCGGCCGTCGCGGGTAGAACCGACCCCCGACCGAAGTTTTTGCCCCGACGGCTTCCGGCGTCCGTCATCCCGGGCGCTTTCCCAGCGCGTCCCCGCTCGGAAATGCCCCTTTTCGCCCCAAGTCGGGGCGTTCCGAAGAACGGCGGGAGGGGGGCGGAGAGGGGCGAGGGGCTGAGACCTGGGCGCTCCCGAGAGAAAGCGGCGATGGCGAAGGGGAAAGTGGTGGGGAAAAGCGGTGCGCGGAGCGTGGCTTGGGGTCGCTCGTTCCCCGCTGCCTCCAGCCCTGCTGTACCATCAGCTGCAGCGAGTTGAGCTCTCCGGCCCCCGAGTACGATCTCCATCACCGCACAACGGCGGGAGCTGCAAACCCCGCAGGATGGGGCCGCATCGCCCACCCCGTTGCGGTGTTGCGCACGAAGCATTCGGGCGGGGAGGGCGGGCGCTGCTCTCCCCCTTCCAGCAGCGAACTGCACCAATTACCTGCGGTGGGACACCGCTGAATCACGGCTCGGAATAAAACCCTCCCGGTCGCTCATTATTGCTGGAATCCCGTCGGGCTGGTTGCTGAGCTCCGGCTTCATCCCATTCCCAGACCTGAGAGCGGCGATGCAGCAGAGCACCAGCCGGCACCCACCGGGGTCCACTGGCATCCTGAACGCGTACTCAGCTTTTCCTGTCTCTGCTCTTTGCTTTAGGCTGTTCACGTGCCCCCCTCTGCCCGTTGTGGCCAAGCACGAGGTTTTTGGGGTGCTCCCGTGCAAAGACGGGGGGAGGTGTCGGGTATCCAGCCGCGGAGCAGAGTCCGGGCTTTGGCCGCACCACGGTGTGCAGTGGGATCAGTGCTTCAGGACGCGGGTGGGGTCATGCAGGCGGTGCTGGGAGCAATGGGGAACGAAGGCTGGCGCGGGGCTGGCAGCTCTCAGCAGGTAGGGCTACTGAGGTGTCTGCCAAGTCCTCTCCATTCTTCCCTGCATCCCCCTGCAGTGTTGGGCTGCACAGAGGTCAGTAAACCCCACAGGACAGCCCCCTTGCTGTGCCTGCAGGATGGGGCAGCCAGGACAGCGGGTGGGTGCTGGGACGTGCGCCCCTAGCTCTGCTCAGCGCTCGGCACATGAACACCAAATCGTGCTGTAACCGCGACCGATTTGGGTGGGATGGGAAGTGGGGCCGCCTGGATCCCATGCAGAGAGCTGATGAGCACAACTTCAGCCTTCAATTTGAATGGCTTTGAATTCTGCGGCTTCTCCAGCCCCTTCATTTTAATTAAATAAATTTTTTAGTGGGAGAAGGCTAACTTTCATTTGCATGCATAATTGGCTGTGCCATTACCCTTATGGGACGTGCAAATGCAGACGGCGGTGCTCCGTAGGGCGCTGTGCCGCTCCCTGAGTGTGACAAGGTGGGCACAGCGCTGCTCCTGGCTGTGATGGAGCCCCGCGCGCCCAGCAGAGCTGAGCCGGGTGCAGCCATGGCACCAGCAGCTCCGGGCCGCCTTTGGCACTCGGGTTGGCTTTGGTGCCAGGGGCTCCACCTGTCCTCTTCCAATGGGTGACGACGGGGTGCTCTGCGAGAACGCTGGGGAGGGGGCACAGCCACTAAGCCTGCAGCCAGGGGAGTGCTTTTATCCTGAGGTGAGGGGGGCTTTGTGTTCTTTTAGGAAGAATTGTTCATGGGAAGGAGCGGGAGCCCAATGGAGGCTCAGCGGCATTCACTGTGCCTGGGAGTGCTCCTCTGTCTCCCCTGGCTTTGGAAAGCTCTGGAGTTTATTTTTTTCCCTCCTTGCAAGTGAAGGAGCATCTTCCCTGCACCTCCTTTAGACCTATTTTAGCATTCAGTGTGCTTGATGTGGTCGAATATCCTGGCATTTCCTTTTAATTTAGTGCCTGAAATGGTCGCAGGGGCCGCTCGGTGCAGCCAGGACCTGTAATTACCACTGATGTGCGTTTATAGAAGCAGCGCACGGAATGCGTGCAATGAAGTGCAGCTAAAAATAAAATGGGGGGGGGAGAAGAAGTGTAGGGCCTGGGGGCACCAGAGCTGGGGCCGCATGGCCCAATGCCATGACGTAAGGTATGTGTGGTGCTACCATTATTTGGGATGGAGGATGTGACACTGGCGGCTGGGGAGGGACACGGCCTGGGGGTGGGACAGTGCAGAAGGAGGGGGCAAGGAGAGCAGAGGAGCTGGGCTGGGTGTTTTTAGTGCCTCGCCCGCAGCCCGGATCACCCGCCCACAGCTAATTGTGGGGTGGTGGTGCTGAGTCAACACCGCCCCGATCAATAGCTGGGTCCAAGGGGGGGAGGCAGAGCCGCTCCAAAAGCTGCAGACAGGCGCGGAGATGGGGCACAGAACCTCAACACCGCCGCACTGTGAGCTCGGCTCAGCCCGTGCCTGAAGGATGCACAGAGATGCTGCTCTGTGCTGGCTGTCCCTGCGCTCGTCCCCTGCCTTGGCACGGTGCTGTGGCTGCTCACTGGCTGCAGGGAGGCTGCTCAGTTGTGGTGTGGGGCTTTTTGCAGGGGCGCTGAGGGCTGTGGCAGGGCTGAGCGGTTGGCACAGCAGGGCGAACAGAACCGTGCAGAAAAGGGCTTCTGAGCCACTGCAGCTCCCGGGGCTCAGCCCCAGCGCCCGCCTGGGCAGCACAGGGGGTCCCGGTGCCCCCCGCCTGCAGTGGCTGCTCAGCGCCTGCAGGAAGCGGCTCCGCATCCGCCCGGCCGTCAGCCCTGAGCTTTATATAAAACAGCCCTGCGGTGAACCCCAGGGCTGGAGGAACGCGGCGTTGGGTTCAGAGGGAAAAAAAAGGAAAAGAGAGGAAAAAAAAACCTGTGGATACATAGTGAGCATCTCGGCACTCGGTTCAGAGAGGTGCGCCGAGCTGCATGTGTGCAGATGGGCAGGAAAACACTGGGGTGTGTGAAATCAGGATTGTGCCCCACTGGGAATGGCTTAAAATGGCATCTGAGGGTGTTTATTTATTCACGATTTTGTGTGTTTGGGTCTTTTAAAGTAGGCAGAAGCTGAGATTTGTGACATTTCATTTATGTTTAAAGCAGGAAGAGCGTTAATCACCTTAATTATGTTCAGCCACGGCAGGCTGGAATACTTTTAAAGAACAATTTGAAGAAAATAATTACACATTAGTGAGCCGGTGGGGACGCCCTGCCGCAAAGCAGCACTCTGTGCTTTCCTTTATGGGTTTAAAAAGAAGCTTCCTTTACCAAAAGGCACCGATTTCTGCAGAAAGCAGACTTTGAATGGAAGGAAAGGGGTTGTTGGCGCATAGCACTGACCGGGCGCCTGCCTGCCCTCGCCTCGCTCCCTCCATCCCGTGTGCCGCCAGCACAGGGCAGGCAGGCGCCGGGCTCAGGGCACGGGGACGGCGGGGCTTCTTCCCACGTGGGGGGAGCGGGGTCAGCCCTGGGGGCGGTCCCTCACCCCCATGCCCCGCAGTGGAGCAGGACCGGGACACCTCCTCCCCAAAGCCCTACTGGAAGGAGTTCCGCTTCGACCTGGCTCAGGTGCCCGCAGGGGAGTCGGTGACGGCCGCCGAGTTCCGCATCTACAAAGCGCGGGGCGTCAGCCGGCACGGCAACAGCACCCTGCATGTCAGCATCTACGAGATCGCCGCCGAGCGGGCCAACAGGTGACAGCCATGGGACGGGTGGGGAAGGGGGCTGGTGAGGGATGAGGGTGGGGATGGAGGAAGGGATGGGACAGGGATGGAGAGCGGGACGGGGGTAGGCATAGGGACGAGAACTGGGATGGGGACCAGAATGGGGACCATGATGGGGATGAGGAGTGGGGTAGGATGAGGCACAGGGGCAGGGATGGAGGCTGAGATACGGGACAGGATTGGGAACTGGGGTAGAGATAGGGACCAAGACTGCGATGGGTTTGGGGCCACTGTCGAGCACCACCTCTGCCCTTCACCTTTCCCACCCTGTGCCAAATGCTGCTCCACAGCGTCCCCAGGCAGTGACACACACGGTGCTAGGAGGGAGCTGTGCTTTTCCCAGGGCAGCTGCCAGGGTGCCACCTTCACACAGCCACAGGCGCTGTCCTGACCTCGCAGCACCGGGGCCTGTATGGGCACGGGCACAGGAGTCATTTCCACGAATGGCTGTGGGATGGAGAAGCCTCGGGGTGTTACTCACCACTGTGCCCATCTGCAGGGAGTCCAACCTGTTCCTGCTGGACGCCCAGCAGCTGCATGCCGGCACCGAGGGCTGGCTGGTGTTCGACGTCACAGCCGCCAGCAGCCACTGGCTGGTGGAACGCAAGCACAACCTGGGCCTGCGGCTCTACGTGGAGACAGACAATGGTAAGAACCACTGCAGCGTTGGGGCCTGAACCCCAGAAACACTCTCAGTGCTGCTGCAGCTCTGCAGTGTGCAGCTCCCATCTGCGGGGTGGGCAGCGCTGCAGGATGCGGCTGCACTGCGTGGGCGCCCTTTGAACGCTGCGTGTGGAGCTGAGGATGCTGCACGGTGCCGGCCTGCAGGACCTGCCCGCATCTGTGCCCCACTCTGTCCCTGCAGGGCTCAGCGTGGAGCCGGGCTCGGTGGGGCTGTTGGGCCGCCGTGGGCCCCGCTCCAAGCAGCCCTTCATGGTGACTTTCTTCCGGGCGAGCACCAGCCCCGTGCGAGCCACGCGAGCGGCCAAAGCACCGCGCAGGAGGCAGCCCAAGAAGAGCAACGACCTCCCACACCCCAACAGGCTGCCAGGAATCTTTGGTAAGAGCCCTGTGGAGCAGCCCGGGCTGTGCAGGGAGCGCGAGGCTCTGCTGCCCATTCCCATATTGCTCCTCCAGGCTGGGAGCACAGACCTGCCTGCACCCAGGCGGCTCCGTGTGCCCCCTGTGCACCACAGTACAGCCCCAACCCCGGGCTGACGCTGCCTCCCTCTCTCCACAGATGATGTCCACTCTGCAGATGGGCGGCAGGTCTGCCGGAGGCACGAGCTCTATGTCAGCTTCCAGGACCTGGGCTGGTTGGTACGGTCCCGATCCCCCCACAGAGCCACAGCTCCCGGCCACTCGCAGGAGTTTTGGTGACCCCAAACTTCAGAACAAACCTGGGGAGGAGGTGGGGGGGGGAGCAGGAATGGAGGAGCAAGCAGTGCCCCAGTGCAACGTCTTCTCCTTGCAGGACTGGGTGATCGCCCCCCAGGGCTACTCAGCCTACTACTGCGAGGGGGAGTGCGCCTTCCCGCTGGACTCCTGCATGAACGCCACCAACCACGCCATCCTGCAGTCCTTGGTCAGTGCTGGCACTGCTGGGGGGTTCTGGTGCCGGTCCCCTCCTTGTCCCCATGTGCAGAAGCTGCTGCCCCCCGAGGCCCAGCGGAGCCCAAGCGCTGGGCTCAGCATATTCCGAGCAGGAAGGCTTTGCTGCCCGTTTTCCCAAATCCACTCCACATCGCAACCCATGCTTTAATTTCTGGAATTTCCTGACCTGTGAGTGCTTGATTTCCCAATGGTGGAGTCACACCGACTCCGGTGCTCGCAGTTAATTACAGGGAGCGCCGAGTCCTCGGCTGAGCCTTTGAAGGTGTCTCCTGGCAGGGTTTAGTTTTCGCATTAATGAAGCTGCCTGAGCCCCCCCCCCCGCTGTGGGCACCCACCCTCAGCCCCGGCCCAGGGCTCTTCCCAGCACGGACGTGAATCACCTGGCACTGGGAGCTGCAAATGGCAGCGTTGGGCAGCACAGCGCCGGACTTCCGAGCTGGGAGAGCCGTGCTGGCACATGGCTCACATGTGGGGTGAGGCCAGGGGGAGCTGCCTGCAAAGCTCACGGTGCCAGGGCTCAGCTCTGGGTCCAGGGACTCAAATGAACGAAGGGCCGCCCAGATCCAATATAAACTGACTGCAGAGAGGACTGCCAAGGGTTTAGAATAAATATTTTTACAAAAGGCTGGAAATAATCCCCCATTCACCCAGGCTTCCCCAGGTTAAGAACCGGGGTGCTTTGAGGCTTCTGGCATGCCCACAACCCCTCTGCCCCTCAGGTGCACCTGATGAAGCCCGAGGCCGTGCCCAAGGCGTGCTGCGCGCCCACCAAGCTCAGTGCCACCTCCGTCCTCTACTACGACAGCAACAACAACGTGATCCTCAAGAAGCACCGCAACATGGTGGTGAAGTCCTGCGGCTGCCACTGAGCACCGGGGGGAAGAGGGGCACCGGGATCCGTGCTGGGTGCAGGGGGGGAGGGGGTTACTGCAGCAGCACCGGGGCTGCCCACCCGACACACCACCGCCCGTCTGCCCAGCCCTTTCCCTTCCCAGAAGTGGATGTAAATAATATAAAACTTCCCTTCTCTCACCACATATAATGAGAAACATCCATACTATACATGCGTAGATATAAATATATAGAAGAGGAAGAGGATTTGTGGTCGGTGACGTCGGGCCGTGGCGGATGTGCGGTGCCCGGGGTGAGGCAGGGCGGCTCCGAGGACAGCTGGGCAGCCTGGCTCCAAGCAGGGCTTCCAGTTCCCTACACAAAAACACCCTCAGCCAATTAAGTAGCCGGCTGACTAACAGGCTCCTGTTTACTTAGAGTTCACAAAACTCAGCCAAGGGGAAAAAAAATAATACATATTGAGCTACAACACTGTTATAAAATAAATGCCTAGTTTGGAAAGTAAACACGGCGTTTCTCTTGCTGCTTTTCCATAAATGTCACAGCACAACGAGGTTCTGTTCTGCACGCTGAATTTCGCAATGAAAAAGCACTCACGATGGCCTAAAACTGCTCCTGTTTGCCTGAAGCTGAGCCCAGCAGGCGCTGTGGCAGCTGGGGCTGCTCTGGGGCACCCAGGGAACCTGGCTTACCCACACACAGAGGAAAAAACAAAGAGGAAAAAATGCAGAAAACCAACCCAAATCCCAAGGATGGTGAGCACCGAAAAAGGAACATCCTGATCCTGCTGCCTGGGGTAAGGGCTCACCACACCAGAAAGGTTCCATTTGCTGATGAAGGCAACGCAGAGCGGCTCAGGACGCAGCCGTGCCCCTGGGCAGAACGCTCCTGGGTCGGGGCTTGCGTGGGGATGTCTGCAAGGACTATTCCAAACCTTGAGATTTAAGGAGCATCCTGACTCAGTGAGAACCCAACAGCCAGGACAGGCCTTTGTTTTTCGAACACTCGGTTTTATTGTTTCTGTGAAATATAGGAAGTCTTTGCCAAGCGAGGGGCAGACAGTGGGAGCAGGAAGCAGCACAGGCACAACGCGCCCGCAGCAGCCGCCTCCCCGCTCAGCCCGCTGCAGGACGGGGCACCAACCCTTGCAGGGGCAGCTGGGCAGCAGCACTGCGCTCACACGCACTCCCCGCAGTCGGAGATGATCACCTTCTGCTTCGGCTTCCCGTCCTTGGTGCCCTGAGCCTGCAGAAGGGAAGGAAGGCTGGCAGTCGGGGGCAGGGCTGCACGCACACGGCCCGCCTCGCTGCGGCACCGACCTCGATCTGCCGCACCACATCCATGCCCTCCGTCACCTCCCCGAACACCACGTGCTTCCCATCCAGCCAGTCGGTTTTATCACAGGTGATGAAGAACTGCGAGCCATTGGTGTTGGGGCCGGAGTTTGCCATGGACAGCAGCCCTGGGACCAAACAGCGCAGCGTTACTGGGAGCAATGCCAGTAATTAACGAAAACCCCCCTGGGCCGCGCAGACGATGCTGGTTTTAAGAGTCTCTGAATATTGAAACTGCGGGAAGCTGACGATGCCAAGAAACACCTACAAGTATGAGCAGAGTGAAGTGGTAGAGAGCATTAATCTATTTTTAACTGCAGCAACAGCAAAGCCTTGGAGATCAGCCTGCTTGCTTTCTGCCACCTTTCCACCGCTCATAGTTACACTGCAACATTCCTCCCCTGAAACCCAACGGGAAAGCAGCTTTGAAATTCTCCATGATATAAGACTGAAATTAACAGCGTGTGGGAAGAGACAGGGGCTGCATTTCTGCCCTGGGCACACTGCAGTCTGCAGTCAGAGCAGCTCGAGGAACCCCACAGCGCTCACCCTACCCGGCCCCGTGTGCTTCAGGATGAAGTTTTCATCATCAAACTTCTTCCCATAGATGGACTTTCCTCCAGTGCCGTTGTGGTTGGTGAAGTCCCCAGCTTGACACATGAACTGGGGGATGATGCGGTGGAAGCTGCTCCCCTTGAAGCCGAAGCCTTTCTCCTGAGTGCAGAGGCAGCGGAAGTTTTCTGTTCGGGGCGAGGGGCAGAGGTGAGCACAGCACACAGCCCGAGGGCCGCAGGGCAGCAGCACCGCTCACCTACGGTCATGGGCACCACGTCGGACCGCAGCAGGATCTTGAGCCGCCCTGCAGGTTTGTTGCCGATCTTGATGTCCATGTAAACCTGGGGGTTGGCCCGGGACTTCTTGGCGGGAGGCTCACCCTAGGCAAGGAGGAGGCACACAGCGGCGCTGCTGCTCAGCTCTGCCACCCGATGGCCGGTCTGACCCCAGCCTGCGGCACAGGGCCGGCAGCAGGTCCAGCTCCGAAAGTCCCTGGAGGCAGCAGGCAGCAAACGGTGGCTTCTCACAGCCTAGGAGCTGCTGCAGGATGCAGCAAAAACACGCAGCTCCCCGTGGGCTCACCAAGCTTTTGGGGACACAGGGACTGACATGACCACAGCTCACTCCTGGTTCCCAAAGCTGGTAGCATCCAGAACCCCAGGTTCCCCACTCCGAGGCACTCCGCAGGGCACAACCAGCTCCATCCATCCCTACCTCCTGTGTCTCTGCTTTGGGTGCCTCTGTTCCTCCTTCCTCTGTGTTCTCTTCCAGAGTCTTTCCTGAGAACCTCTTCAGCCATTCATCATCTGACCACACTGCAGCAGAGCAGGGCAGGGTGAGCACGGGGTGCTGAGCCCAGGGCCAAGCAACTCAGGACTCAGCACAGCTCTGGCAGCAGCAGGACTGCACCCAGGGTGCTGCTGGCCCAACCACTCCCAGAACTGCACGCAATCACCCTCCGCATGGGGACACGGGGACAGAGCCAGCAACTCCCCCAAGTAATAACCCACAGCCCGCTGGCTGCATGCCACCATCCACCTCTCGCCAGCACTTTGCTGAGCATGGCTGGGCTCCCTCCCATTTCAGGTGTGACAGTAACCCTGCCTGGTGTGTGAGTGTGTGTCTGGCCCCCTGTAGAGAGCAACCAGAAGCGCAGCCATGTCTGTCTGAGGGGCTGGGGAATGTTTTTGGTTCTTGGGACCCCACGAGGCTTGAATGGGAAGCAGAGACTTGGGAAACCAAAAGGGCCGATGTGCGCCCAACGCTGAACGCCCACAGGGGTTTCTCCTCTCCTAGGCACCAACTTACCTGGCCGAGATGATCCTTCTTTAATTCGCATTGGTTTGGCCAAGTTCACTCGAATTGTCCGACCAAAGAGCTCAGACTCGTTCTACAAAGAACAAAAAAAGAACAAAGCCCACCACAGGGTAAAAACTCACTACGTCCCCTCTGCATAGAGAGCAGGGCTGGCTTTCTCTCCCCACTTCTGAGCACCACAAGGGCCCCACAGCTCAGGAGCTGCACTGAGACCACAGGCAGCGGCAACGCCAGCAAAGCAGGGCCAGGCACGACAGTCGCAGGCAGACCCGTGTCTGCAGCACCACCCAGCACACGTGGCAGGAGCTGCCCCAGGCTGTTTGCAGCTGCTGGCCAGGGCCAGCCGTGTCCCAGCAGAGGTGAGCTCCGGGCTGTGAAGCAGGGCAGGCCTCGTACCATGTTGTCAATGGCTGCTGCTGCATCCTATGTGAAGAGCAATAGGACGCCTCGTTACAGCCACTTTAAAGAAAAACGCCTGGGCACACAGAGTTGGCGCAGCTGCCTCCGCGTCCGCAGACCGGGAGAGGAGCAAAGCCGCCGCGCGCTGCCCCGGGCAGATCTCTCGGCTGCAGGCAGCCCCCGCGGCCCGGCCGCCATCCCGGAGGGCAGCTTTGCTCCTCCTCTCACCTCCGCCAGCTCGAACTCCACGAAGGCGAAACCTCGGTGCTTCTCTGCGAACGCAGCCCGCGGTCAGAGCCCGGCTCACAGCGCGCCGCCGCCCCGCGCCCCGCCACGCACCGGTCTCGTAGTCCAGCGGGATCTGGATGTCGGTGATGTCGCCGAACGGGATGAAGGCGGCGTGCAGCACCTTCTCGTCCACCTCCTCCGCCAGCCCGCCTGCGGCGCACAGCATTAAGGCCCCGCTCACCCCGCGCGGCGCCCGCAGCCCCCGGCCCCACTCACCCACGTACAGCACCCGCTTGGTGGCCGCCATCTTAGCGCCCCGCCCCGGAAGTTCGCGCGAATCCCGCCTTTCCGCAGCGCCGAAAAAAGGCGCCCCCTGCGGGCGGGGAGGTGCGAGCGCAGGCGAACCGGAACCGAAGCGCGCAGCGCCCGGAGCTTCACAGCAACCCCAGCAGCAAGTGAACGCCGTCGAGTGCCGCGAGTCACGTCAAAATCACGCACCAAAAGAGAACGACGACAAATGCAGACAAAGATTTTATTCCTTTATTGACAAAAGACTTTCCAGAACTTTCCACACTGGACTTTGAGTTAAAACCAAAACCACAAAATGCTTTAACTGGAAATCCTCGATGTTGCACTTCGAAAAGACAAGCGGTAACCCTGCTGTGACACAAGGGAAGCTTGCAAACTCAATTCTGGTTTTGGAAATCTAGAGCTGCGCAGAGTCGGCTTGGTAAGAGTTTAAGGACTGGTTTACAAAATGCAGTGTAACTACGCGACGTGCCGCACGGCCCTGAGTCCTGCAGCACAGTGCAGAATCTGCAGAGCTGACACCTGGCAGGGGCTATTTGGCTTCTTTGCATCCTGCAGGAAAAGGAGGAAGACGTTACCTGCCAGGTACTGGGGAATAAAAGCCTTCTCTAGGTGTCTGGAGCTGGACACAGGAGACAGCATTTGTTTGGGCAGAGCTGCACCAGGAATGGCTCTGCTGGCAGCAGCCTCTGATGCACGCTGCAGGCAGATGACTGCAGGACAAGCAATGGCACCAGCACAGCACTTCACCCTGAAGTCACCAGAACATCTTGCACGTCATTTTATCTCCTAGATCAGCACTGGCACAAGACTCATCTCAATCTGCTGTACTTCCATGACTTCCCAACAGAAACACTTCAGCAATTCACGCATCATCTTTCCAATGCTTAATTAAACAGATTTTTGAAGAACTGGCTAAAATCAGACAAGCGCCGCTCCCAAACCAACATAAGCCTCCCAGACCAAGAACACTCAGTGACTGCCTTGCTTTATTTACCAATCCTGGAAGCTTTTAATCAAAGCCGAGGACTGAGACACTCACCAGTCTTCCTGGCTTAAGAGGTAGCAGCAACCACACCCACCTTCTGGGCAGCTTCTTTCTTGGCTTGGTGAGCCTGCAACACTGCGACAGCCTCCTCCACCTCCAGGAAGACAGATGAGCCAGCGAGTGAGAATTCTCTCTCAGCCGAAGGGCCCCACAGCCTCCCCCAGCCAAGGAACAGGCCAGCTTACCTTTGACCGGAGGGACTCTGGAGACTCCAGCATGTGCAACAGCTCCGAGTTGTCAATCTCCAGCAACATTCCTGTGATCTTCCCTGCGAGGCTGGGATGCATAGCTTGAATAAGAGGGAACAAACGTTCTCCTAGAAAAAAAGGGTTTCAGACACAATTTTAATTTAAAAGCTGTTGATGAAACCTGGGGACATTTCCAAAGTAAAATGCAATCTGGAAGAACCAGAGTTTCACTCACCCAGCATCTGTTTCTGCTCCTGGGGAGGGGCAGCAGCCAGCATGGAGGCTGTTAGTGGTTCCTGTCCCTGCACGTGTACTGCAGGCTGAGGCGCCTATAGAAAGGCAGATAGGAGGATGCAAAAATGCTGTGCTGATTGTTTCTGCAAAAGCTCTTCAGTATGTAAAACTGCAAAAACTCTGCATGTAAAACCTGCTGGCCTGCAGCTGCTTCAGGCACAGACCCTTGTGTTACCTGCAAAGGTTGTACAGGTGGATGTGGGCTGCGGACACTTGAGGCATATTTATAAGGGGGAACTGCTCTGGGAGCAGGAGCAGCTACAGGTGGACGAGGAGCCAAGTTCTGTCCTGCAGTGGTAACACCTGCAAAAGGAGAGCGGGATTAAAAACACCCAAAGGAATGCACAGCAAATAACCTGAGGCATCTTAATGACCGCTAAATTCAAACCATGCACCACACGGGCAAATACTGGCTTAGAAACTGGTCTCCAAATCACAATTAGATATTTCAGAAAAGGACTATTCTACATTCTGCATTTATGGTATTGTCTAGTTACGCCATCAAATAAAATTTGGGTGCTCCACTCTGAGAACAATATCCATAACCTGCAGCCCTATTTACAGCAGTAAATGTTGCAGAGCTGTAGAGATGAGTTCCAAGCAAGTGGAAAATAACCCATCTGGATTTCTGCTGCTGTGCTGTAGCACCAACTGTCCCTAGACCAGCACTGCACAGCAAGGAATAGGAAAGATTCAGGTGCTGTCTCTGCCCCTCACTGCAGGCGTCTGTTTCTGACAACCACCTCTGTGAGTAGAAGTCAAGTCTCAACAGCACCCTCACCCCCGCAGCTGAGGAGAAGAGCCTGGGACGCAGACGCCTTACCGACTCGCTGGGCAGAAACAGGGAGGCCACGAGAGACAGGAGCAGTGCCAGCAGGGGCCAGGTGGCGCAGGGCTGGCCGTGGCCCAGACTGGCGCATGGCGCTTGGCATTCCCTGGAAGCCTGATGGAAGAAACGAGAGGAAATCCTCAAACCAGAACTGACCGCTGAGTCGGGCCGCGCAGCTACAGGAAGCAAGCTGAAGCTGTGCACAGAAAGGAAAGCATGCATTCATGCCAGAAGGCACAACCCAGAGGGCCACACCACCAAAGCCGTCTCTAGACGCTCACCTTGAGGTCTTCCTCCTTGCTGCCAGCGCGGGTTGGGTCTCATCTGTGCCATCTGATTGGGTGCATAGTAAGTGGGTCTGCTCTGAGCCTGGAGGGAGACCAAACGAGCTAAAGGCAACATCTAAGTGAACAACATCTAAGTGAACAACAAGCATTGTTCACAGTGTGTTTTGGCAGTTTTTCCCCAGACTCAACGCCCAACTCAAATTAAGAGAGCACGCAGCCGGGACGTCACAATTAACTCCACTGACTGCACTCCCCATTAGGAGTTGCTTGCTCATGGGCATAAGAAAGACTCAGTGGGATGAATGCAAACAACTCAGGGCCCAAGCACAGTTAAAATGATCATAACACCATACTAACTTGCTCAGCTTACCTGGGGCACAGCAGGCATGAAATAACCGCCAGCAGCAGGCTGGAACTGATTAATGATTGTGTTGGCTGGCAAGGCTCTCATGCCAGCAATGCGCTGCATGTACTGATTAGTTAGATGAGCCTTCCGCTCTTCTTTCCTTTGTGCAAGTGCAACATAGAGTGGCTTTGAGCCCACTATTCGACCATTCATCTCTGTCACAGCTTTCGTAGCTTCCTCTGGAGAGGAAAAGCAGACAAAGCCAAATCCTTTGCTCCGTCCATCTTCCAGCATCACCTGCAGTAAAGACCAATTGCTGGTAGAGCAACATTTCAAGAACAGTTTAAGAATCTCTATTTTTGACCGCAGAGAAATATAAGATTTCAAGGAAGAACTGTTGCAGAGGTGTAGGGACAATTAGTCAATGAAGAACCACTTGTCTGGATTTGCTCTGCCTTTCTGTCAGCACCATGCGTCCCCAGACTCACACTGCACAGCAAGGAATGGGAAAGATTAGGTGCAGCCTCTAATCAAACGTGAAGAAATGCCTGTTTGCCAATCAGCATGACATGGCAATGTTTTGCACCTCTTGCCCCCCCCACTTCTGATGAGGAATCAAACAAGTTATCAGTAAAATCATGATGAGACCCAAGGAAATCCGCCCCAAATTCTCATGACTGCACCAATGAGGGGATATACACCTGCCCTTCAGTCCTTTGTCAAGTAACAGTTCCTTCCTCGGGCCTTAAAATCCCAAAATCCCCAAGCCCCACAGTACCTTTGCACTTGTTATTGACCCAAAAGGTGAGAATTCCTTCCTCAGTTTTTCATCATCTATAGTGTCATCTAGGTTTTTAATGTATAGGTTAACTCCCTGAAAGGTAGAGAACAGTGGGATAATTAAGACATCTACAGTAATAAAGAGAATCTTCAGCACATCAACTGTCAGCATCCATCTGCCAAAGCTGTCATTTGTCTAAAACCTCTCAACTCAGCAGGACATCTGTCATACCAAGATTGATGGCAATAAATGTTGCAAAGGTGTAGAGACAAACCCCAATGCAGTGAAAGAGCCTGTCTGGATTTCCTCTGCTTTCTTGTTGCATCATGTGTCCCCAGTCCTGCACTGCATTGCAAGGAGTGGGAAAGATTCAGATGCAATCTCTGGCACAATTTTGCTAAAAACTGAACCAACAGCAGCTCAGAGTCACATCTCTTTCCATCCTTTCAGGTATGCTCATGTGAAATTAAAGATGACTGCATGACTTCTCTCACATCCTTTCCATGCACGGAAATCTCCTTTGCCTCCAAGTTCCATGGAGTCACCTTAAAGTTTGCACTCTAAGAATATATCACAGGGCGACGACTGCGGCCAGTGCCTTTTAAGTCTACCAACAGTTGGAAACGGTACCTAAATTCAGAAGAGGGACAGGCTGTTCACCTGGTACCGGCTGATCCTCTCTTGTTTTAGCTGTTCAAATCTCCTTTTCAGCTCTGCCTGGCGCTCCACCTTCTTCTGTGCTCGGCCTACAAACACCATTTTCCCATTGATATCCTTCCCATTCATTTCTTCCACTGCCTGGACAGAGGGGTCAAAGAAAACTGTCAATTGCTGGAACAGGACAGCAGCCCATCCTGTTAAGAACTTGGCTGCCCAAAGATCTCCCTGCTCGTTGGCCAATAGCTGCCACAGCACCTCTGCGCTGCTCCCGTTTTACACCAGCTAACTACAGATAAACTGAAGTTACCAGGAGAGACCACACTGACAACCTTACCGTAATGCTGGACTAACAGCAGGAACTTGTGAATTCACCCCCACCCCTTCTGTAGCCAGTGTCAAACAGTAACAAACATAAGGCTCCAAAGACACTGCTCTAAGAACACTCACTCCCTAAGCCATCCACCAGAGCACTTCTTCAGCAATTAATGTTCAGATTAAACAACTGCATTCTGTGTGCATCTAGTGACCTGAGAAGTGTCAGCTTAATCCTGAAGTAAGGTCACAACGTGGTGACGTGCGAATGGCTTCAAGCCCCCACATCCAGAAGAGGTTTACATCTGAGGCGGAATTTTATCTCAACTGGCTTCTATGCAAGCCAAGAAAGCTCTTCTCCAAAGACACGCAGGCAGCATTAACACTCGGTCATACCTTGTTAGCATCTTCATGCTTTTCAAAGCTTACAAAGCCAAAGCCTTTGGATTTTCCAGTGGGGTCTGTCATCACTTTAACACTCAGAGTCTTACCTGTTACCAAGGGACAGGGTTAGTGAAACATAATGTAAGGCTATTTCAAGTCTATCAAGCTCCACAGAATCACCCCAGCCTTCTTCTCTCACTCCTCTGCTGGCCACTCTCTGCCTCCTGTCCAATGTTTGACAGAATTACTGCCCACTCCTCAACTCTTCCAATTCATCAGCCTCAAAGTCACCCCAGCAGACGTATTCAGATGGCAGCAGCACTTAAATTAGCACAGCTCATGAAATTCACAGTCGCATTAGAGTTTCGGTACTTACCATATTTACTGAAGAGTTCCTTTAGTCTTTCATCATCCATGTCATCCCCAAAGTTCTTAATATAAACGTTGGTGAATTCCTTTGCCTTGGCTCCCAGCTCAGCCTCCCGCTCCTTACGAGACTTGAATCTCCCAACAAATCTGCATGAAAGAATGAAATTAAGTGAGGAACTTGTTTAAAAAAAAAAAAAAAAGAAAAAGAAAAAGGAAAAACAGCACGTGATTTGCAGTGAGGCAAAAAAAAAGAATTCTTTTTTGTAGTAGGAGCCAGACACAGGGAGAAGAAAGAGTGCCAGAACAGAAGGACAGAGAGGCCGCAGACCAACCAGAAAAGTCCCCTGTCCTGCGGTGAAAAGCAGCAGCCTAGGATGCCCACCCAGCTCTGCAGTGAAGAGTACTGGCCAGACACCCACCCAGCCCACTTGCAGAGGGAGCAAATCAAGGCTTGGTTAGGGAAACCACAGCCCTGCAATGGAAGGGGAGCAGGCTATGGCTTGGGCAGGGTCACTCACCAGCCCTGTAGTGGAGAGGTAGCAGGCCAAGGCTTGGGCCAGGAGAACCTTGTGTGTCCCTGTTAATACCGAGATGCATCACGGTTCATGCGCTCGCTGCTGCTGCTGCTGTGACACTCACACTTTGCGGTCGTTTAGCAGCATGCCGTTCATCTTCTCGATGGCTCTATCTGCAGCATCCTGGGTCTCAAAGTGCACAAATGCGTAGCCCTTAGAGCCATTCTCATCACACACCACCTAGACATGCGGGAGGAAACCAATCCGTCAGACCTGGGAGCGCACACCTCCGCCACGCTCAACCGCAGCGTCAGCACACGAGTGCAGGTGGCTGCTGAGGGCCAAAGCAGTGAGATGCCTGTGTTTAGACTGGCTCATTTCATGACCAAACCTGACAACTCCAGCAATCCCTGACCTTCTGGTCAGCTCTGCCTTCAAGAGGCAGCCCTCCATTTGGTGACAGTGCCACTCCTGCCTCCTACACCGGGTGTCTCTGATCGCGTCACCACTACAGCGGAGTGGGAAAAAGTCACCACATCTCACCTTGCAGGACAAAATATTCCCAAACGCTGAGAACGTGTCATAAAGTGCCTTGTTATCAATGGATTTGTCCAGGTTCTTAATGAAGACGTTCCCAACCCCCGACTTCCTCAACGAGGGGTCCCTCTGAGACCACATGATGCGAATGGGCTTCCCTTTGATCACATCGAAGTTCATGGTGTCTAGAGCACGTTCAGCTGCAAGAGAAGTGCAGAACAGGTTTCTATGGCTTGTTAAAGCACAAAGGCTTCCATCATGTGAGTGGCAATGTAAATGAAATTAGAGAGACTTTGGGGTGATAACATGGGTCAATTCCAATGGCTACTTTTAGTTTAACTCTATGTTTCAAGGGAGGTCCTTGCAGCACAGTCACTAGACATATTTGAGAACATAACAGATTTAATAATCTTTTCTGAACTGACATTATGATGTTTTCATAGCCACAGAAAAATGAATGCCAAAGTACTTACACTTGGTTACATTCCTCGCTATTATGAAGGTAAACTGCTGAAATCAAAAGAAGGGAAAGATGCAGGCAGCTCTCACCTACTCATACTCATTTCTACTAAGAGAAAATGATCGCTTCTCTGTCAGGTCAGAGACGGAGAACGCACACAAACACACGGCTGGCAGGGAAGAACACAACCAGCCTCTACCATTGGTGGGCAACAAATGATTTCCAGTTTTCTGACTAAAGGGCAACAGTGACAACAGACAACATGCTGAGAAAAAGGCCCAGGTACCCAACTTGATGAACAGGGAAGCATTTAATTCAGCTCTGAATCCCCAGCGCTGCCATCCTGGGCCACACTGAACCCCGTCGTCACGATTCTATTTCTGCTGCCTACTGATGTATTAACGGATCATTGCGTACACTCGTCAGGATCTGCTTCATAAAATTCAGATGCTTGTGACTCTTCTGTGCCAGGAAATGCTCCTAACATGGAGTCGGCAGAGAAAGAGAGACTTAATTCCCAGCACGAGGCAGGGAAATAAAGGGATGAATACGCATTAAGACCAAGGAACACTAACAGGGCAGAACCCAAGTTTTCCAAATTTCTTTGGCTCAGTTCTTCACACCACTGTCACTCAGTTACTGATATCAGTTCAGGGCAGCAAATTCAGCCCAAAAGCCAACACCAATACCTTCTCCTCTCAAGTGATGCTTTGTTAGAGCAGAGAAGCCATACAGCATTTCACAGAGCTCTCTAGATCCTCAGTGGGGCACTGCCTACAGAAGTCTCCTGCACTCCCTACCTGAAAATCAGTGAACTACTGCACGAAAGTTTATTAGAGCTTCTCATGTACTTTGAAGACTTTTCCTGCTACTGCTCTTTAAGTTGAACTGGTGCCATCTCTTTTTTCCCCAGTCCTTCACACAACCCCTACTGTGAAACAAGTTCTGCTGGATCTCGTTACTGAAGCAGAGAGACTTACAACATTAGAAGGACAAAAACCATCTCAGAGGAAAATCTTACATGCTAGGGCTCTACTCGCTCCACTAGCTATTTAAAAGCCTTACATTCAATTAACTGCCATGCTAAAATGATTCCTCAGCTGCTGCTCTGAATCAGTGCAGCCCTGTGGCTGTCCCCATCGCCACTCCTGGTAGGCGCTTCAGCAGGCAACTCGGTGCAGGCCGTCAAATTTGGCAGTGCTTATTTATAGCAAGGAGAGCTGCTGCAAAAGCACGCACTGGCAAGGACACAAACAAGCTGCATGTTCCATCTGCAGCAGAAACAGCTCCTGCTGAAAGCTGCCGAGCAGAGGAAGCAGAGGCAAGCAACCAGAGGAACTGCGAAGCGCTGTGCGGCCACTGAGATACAGGCTAGGAACCTGCTCACGGTTCTGTCAAGCTTTCTAAGCACATCGTAAGCAGATGCTACTGCCCTGCTCTACGCAGCCACCTAGCACTGCACAGCAGTAGTATACTCTGCTTGACGTACGTGCAAATGCTAAAGCACTTGTTAGCAATGGTGCAAGAAAGCCCCAGGCAGATTTCTTAACCTGAGGGCTGCCACACTCCCAGGCAGAAACGCAGTCACATCACACCAGTACCTGAGAAAGCCCCTAAAGGATCGGCACAGGAATAACAGTGACCCAGAATAAACACAGCAAATTCATTTCCTCCACCTGAGCGAACGCCTCCTCATTTCCCCCTACTTAAGCCACCAACCTTCAGCCATTTCAGCTCCTGTATCTGTTTCTCTCCCACTGGTTCCTGTCATCCTCCCAGCAGGCTGGACTGCAACTCAAACCCAACACTGCTCACACACTGAGTCTCTTCCAGGCTTTCTCCATTCTTCTTCAAGTGCCTTTTGGACAGGGAAAACCAATATATGAGCATTCCTTGAAGCTTGCCTTAGGCCTCAAAGTAATGATTCTCACCTGCAGGCTAGGCTCCCTGACACAGAGCTAACACAGTGCTGGAGATGGCCGTGTGGCTGAGCAGCACAGACATACCACGCACCAGGAGTCACTCACAGAAGCTCAGCACAAGGAGTTTTATCAGCTGCTCTGCAGACCTCTGTGCTCTCGCTTGTGTCACTAGGTAATAAAGACCTGACAACAAAAACAGTGCAAATTTAGCCACTTAGAGCTGGCAAGGTTAATCAGCATACTTGATGTCCATTCCTTCAGTCCCTTCATCACTGAAGTGTAACAAAACGCTGCCAGCAGTGAAGATCACGTACAAAACCACTCCTTCCTTCCAACTGCACCCCTGCTTTGCACTGCACGTCTTTCATGCCGCCGTCTCTCCTTTAAGGAGGAGGAGGGACAAGTTTATCCACACCCTCCTACAGCTCTCTGTTTAGAGACACTTATCTCATCCCAGCCTCAGGTTCCTTCTTGGCTTGAGAAACACGTGGTGTTCTCTGTACTCCCAGAGCAGCTTATCTCTATGGCCACGTTGAAGTTTCTCTCCATCATTATCTGAGTTGTCTTAACTGTCAACGTTATGAAACCCTGAAACACGAGACTGCATGAGGAACATATTTAAAAGCTTTTCTTCCAAATAAAATGAGTTTGTTTTCTTTCCACTTACAGTTAAAAATATTAACAACCATGGCCAAGTCTGAACTCGCCAGAACTTTGAAGCATTCCCTGAGCTGCCCATCAGAACAGCACGGACCCAGCACTGAGCATCCACCGACTGCTGTGCCACAGAGCTTCAGCTGAAGGCAGCAGAGCTCATTTTCACTAAAAACAACCTCTCTGCAGACTATCAGACAACACGTGTCCAAAAAGTAACCCAGGGCACAGCATCACCCCATTAACTGAGGAAAACCAAGAAAAATGCAAGCCCTGAGCCAGTTTAGACGCAGAGTTCTGGAAACTCGGATGTTCAGGATGTGAACACAGTGATCCCCTGCTGGTCCCAAAGAACAGCAAACTTCTGGCTGCTGCCCGCCTTGTAAACAGTTCTGCTTCTAATTTACAGTTCTGGTCAGTAAGGAGAGAATCCCATTTCCCACACAAAGGTTAAGATGTGCCAAACCTTCAGATTTACAAAGCACTCCCACTTCTACAGAAGGTATCCAGGAAATACAAACCATCCTATCAGCTTCACTGCCTTCCACCATTTCTAACACACCAGCAGTGTGCCCACAAGAGCTTTCCTACAAGTTTTGGGAGCACAAAGCTTCCCGAGTGCTTTTATGCACCATGCTGTAGCAGTGCTACAGAATGCTGCCCATCATTTCCTAGAATGGACATATAAAGCCCAAATGCATTTCTGATTATGCATCCCTAGAAAGAAAGCACAGATCTTCTCTGAAAGCCCTCATGCAGAAAGCACAGCCACCATGAAGCCAAACCTAAAACTCATGCATTTGACAACAAAAATTATATTCCCCATGAAGTTTGAGTCTTGGTTTCAGAGAGACCCCAACACACCAGCTGCTCTGCCTCCCACCTGCTGATGTTCTGCCCCATTACATTCAGCACAGTAGCTGCCCTTTACTCATACAAAATAACACGCTGCTGTTTGCTGCACCAGGAAGGAGCTTTTCGAAACAGATCTCTTTGTGGAGGCAGGAGAGTTTGCACATTTCTTCCTCCCAGTAGCAACTGAAAGATAAGGTTCAAGTCACTTGACCTTGGAAGACCTGCCAGTAACAGGACACCAGCTACTCTGTCAAAGTATCAATCCAAGCACTGGGACTTCCTAAAACGTCTGCTGCTTCTCCAGGAGCCCAGAATGACACAACATCCCCCCAACCTCACGCCTATTTATTACCATAAAAAGTTTGCCTTGACACACATGCGGAGGCCGGCTATCTCCATATTCCTATGAGAACTTCTTCCTGCTACAGCAAGCACACACAACGGCTACCCTTCCCTTTCAACATCACACCTACACCCACACGACACAGGTCTTCTCTACTTCAAGAGCACAGAGGCAGCCTGAGCTGGGAAGAGGACAGAGGGCACATCACAGCCAGCTCACATGAAATCCGCCGAGAGCTCAGAGGCTCTACTGGCTTGCAGGAGCACGGCTTTGTGATGACATTTCTTTTCCACACCACGTGAAGACTTTGACCTGAAGGCAATGTATTTATCTGCTATCTGCTCTCTACAAAACTGTAAAGCAGGACGGCCAATTGCAGGCAACAGGAGGTCACTGACTGTTATGAATTGATTCTGAATCCAAGGGAAGCGCTCTCGCCTATCTGTTCTGGAGATGTCTATATATAGACCCTGCTAAATCACCGCTCAGAGCAATAAATGAGAGCCAGTCAACAAGTAACGGCTCTGAAAACGAGGGCATAAAATACCGACCTACTTTTCTACAGAAAAAAGGTGCTTCACACACACACAATCACCTTTTCTGTCCCATCCTTTGTACGTTTCCACTGCTTTAGCCCTGGAACATCTACTTAAGGAGGTGCCAAATTGAACTATTAAAAACAATCCGGCCAGAGTAAACCAGCATGGATTCTGCCCACGAGACAGCACAGTTCCACACACTGCACAACGAACCTTTCCCACCAGCTCAAGAACGTCAGAGTGCTGCGCAGCTGCCTGCACACACAGCAACGTGCAGCCATCAGCTCTACCAGGAGTGATGGGAAGTGTTGAATCACAACAGGTGAGCAGCCAGAAGAAGAGACTTCTGCTCTGTAAGAAGTGCCTGTGAAAAACGCCTCCAGCTCCACAACTGCTGGTCAGGTGATTACTTACCCTACGGATGGAGCACACCGAAAGGCTGCTACAGAACACACAGAACCACGAACCGTTGAGGCTGCAGGCCCGTAAGGCCATCGGGTCCGACCGCCGCCCCCCCCCGCACCCACCTCCCCAAGGCCGCATCTCCTCCGTACGGAGCAGCCGGGACGGCCGGCAGGGCAACGCTCCGCCCGAGCGGGACCCCGAAGAAGCGAGCGTCCGGCAGCCGCGCGGCCATCGTGCGGGGCGGCACAGCGAGCGGCTCGGCGGCGCGGGGCGAGGAACGGCAGGAGGGCGCCGGGCGCGGCGCGTACCGTCAGCGGGCTGCTGGAAGTTGACGTAGGCGTAACCGAGGGAGCGGCGGGTGATCATATCGCGACACACGCGGATGGACAGCACGGGCCCCGCGGGGCTGAACTTCTCGTACAGCATCGCCTCGGTCACGTCGGGGTGCAGGTCGCCCACGTACAGCGAGGCCATGGGGTAGCCGCTGCCCGCCGCACTCATCGTCCGGACGGCTGCGCGCGCTCGGGGCGTCTGCGGGGAGAAACGCGGGTCAGAGGCGGCGCTGCCAGCGGGCGGGACCAGAGCCAGAACGCGGCGAACGGCGCGCCGCGACCCGCGCCGACCCAACCGAGCGCCCCCGATGGGCGCAGCCCCACGCGGCGGCCGGGATCGCACCGGGCCGCGGCCGCCCTCCCCCCGCCTCCTCCTCCTCCTCCCGGCCCCACTCACGCACTGCGGCCCAGCGGGCAGAGAAGGGGCGGCGCGCGGCTCCCTCCCCTTTATAGCCGCCGCGGCGCCGTGAGAGCCGCGTGCGGCGGGGAGGAGGCGGCAGGAGCGGCCCTTGCGGCGCGCCGTCCGCTGCAGCGCCGCCTTGCGGCAGGGAGGACCGCGGGGCGAGAGGCGCTCCCTGCCGGCCCTGGCTGCGTCCGGTCCGGAGGGCCGGCAGGGGGCAGCGGCGCCGCGCCGCGTGACGGCGAGAGCGGCCGGCGTGGAAAGGCGCTCGGCGCTGCCGTGTGCCGGCCTGCAGCGCGGCGCCGAGGGGCTCAGCGCTGCCGTGCGCCACCCACGGCCCCCGCCAGACCGCGCCAACCACAGCCCCGCGTTCCCATAGGCTCTTCATTGTGTTTTTAGCCTGAAGAACAAGGATGCTCGGGGGACTTCGGGGATTTCCCCTACAGGGCAGATCAAAAGGTGCCAGGATGTGTTACCGGAGATGTTTAATCTTAGAAAAACCCTGGGAAAAAGAAGCAAAGATCCATTCCTCACCTACCACTGTAATCTGCCCGCTACTGTGGGGAGAAAACCCCCGAGGCCCGGAGCGATGCCTCCCACCGTTTGATGTGCAGCATTCAGGAAGTGGTTTCTCGCAGTCCCCGCTTTGCTTTACCCTGCAGCCCGCGGGGCTGTCGGTGAACGCCTCCCAAACCCGAGCCGTGCAGGGCTGGGCCCCCCCTGCCACCCCCTCCGCGTCGGGCAGCCCGGGCACCGGGGGTGGCTGTGCTCAATGGCCCCATTATTGCTCTCTCTGCTCCCAGACGGATGCTGCCTTCCTCCTCGCAGCTGCAGTTGCTCCTTTCCAGCAATTCCCAACACAGCACTTAAGGCGAGGATTTATGGGCGTTTTGGAAAGGCATTTTGGAGTGAGAAGGAGTTATGGGAAAGGAAGTTGAATTTTCACCATTCCCCAGCAAATTCTCCCAGCATCTTTCATGGCCGGGATCGCTGACGATCCTCCCCTCTGAACAGAGGCCATTCTCAGCTGCGGTTCTGTGCAGAGCATTTCCCACCGGCGTGGAGCTGAGAGGTGACTCTGGTTCTGCTCACAGAGGGTCAGCAGACAGAGGGCAGCCCTGCAGTCTGGCTGCAGGATTGGCCTCAGTGTGTCCCATTTCTGTGGATGCTGTGAGCTAAATGAAATGAGTTGTTCTCAAGCCATGGATTATTGCCAACCTCAGGGCGAGCGCTACAAGTTCCCTGCTAATTTCAACTCATGCAGTTGTTTGCAAAGTAAAAAGTAATGGGAGAAGCCCTCACAAGCAGCGTTCCTGTTGGGGACGTTCCCTTACACTACACCTCAACAAAGATCCTCTGCTGCAAAGCCGATGGTCGTCCCAGCAGCCAGACAGGCAGAACAGCTGCACATCAACACTGCATTTCACACCAACAGGGGTTGGAAAGATTTTATTTGCCACTTTTGCTGGATGTTACAGCTGTGACTCTAACAGAGAGAGGCCGGGCTGCTTGCTGCAGCTCTGGCACACCGAGGAACAGCCGGGGCCACGGCCTCCTCTGACTTTACTGCGAGGGAAATTGTTCCCGGCTGCTTCTGACACTGAGGAACAGGGGTGAGGAAGAGCAGCAGAGGCATTTCTGTATGTTAAGTGCAGTGGCATTCAGCAGAACAACCAGGAGGACTCACTCTCGAGCAGCAGTGCTGCACATATCATGTGCTCTGCAGGAACGCAGCCCGGCACGCTGCGCCTTCCTCCTGGGGTGGGGGAGAGTCTCTGCCAGGACGGAGCTTCTCCGTCTTTTCCACTGCTGCGCTGACCTCTACACACTTTTCTTTTTGGGCCACAGCTGCTGATCTGGGGAGATCCTTGGGGTGGGTGTGCAGCCGGGGCCAGGTCCATCCCGGCAAACGAAGGCACAGATCCAGGCACAGCCCCACAGAAAGGGCAAGCGCTGGGACACCCAGCCCTGAGCACTGCAGGGATGCGGCTCCAGAGCTTGAGAGCTTCGAGTTTGTGTTCCTCCCTGCCCGGAGGAGAGGGGGTGAGAGGACAGGAGCAAGGGTGATTCTGCAGCACTGGTTATCCAGGGTGCACGGCAGGGCAGGAAAAGCTCTTGGGAATGGGACAAGTGCAGACCCGGTGCCGGCCAAGGGCTGCAGTGCAGCACCCATGGTGTGTGGTCCTGGCCCAGGGGTGAGCAACATGAGACCACGACACGGTGCTGGAGAGAGAAAACAGAGACACTGTGGGAGGAGAAGGGCCAAGAGAAGACTGGGAGGCACTTGGAATGCTGGTCTGACCGCTCTGCACTGCGCACTCGGTGGGGAAAGAGGTGAGACGGCTCCTGCAGGGCAACGGGCAGAGGGAAGGGCTGCTCTTCTCACATCGGTGTCGAAGTCGTCCCCTCCCCGCTGAGTCCCTTTGAAATCCCGTGTCTCACCTCTTCACACCCGGCTGTGGGCTGAGGGCTGCCAGTGGGAGCCCAGCAGTGCTCCGCTGTGAGCAGGATGATTTGGGGCTCAGCGGGGAGAGCGCCGTTCAGTCAGGGCAGCAGAACCAATCCCAAGACCACAGAACTGGGTGCTGCAGCTGGGGGACACGGCCTGAGTGAGTCCATCCAGGAGCTCCGAGTCCCCGAGGAGATAAGGCAGCAAACAGTGTCGGGCTCTGCCGGAGGGCCGGGGTCTGCAGTGCCCCCCATCCCAGAGAACGCGTGGAAGCGGATGGCGCTGACATTTGTGGGCACGGCGAAGGAGAGGATGAGCGATGGTGAGGCGAGGAAGGCAGCGTGAGGAGCGAGGCGAGGGGACAGCAAAGAGAATCTTCCGGATGGGTCCTTGGCTTCCGCAAACAGGAGAGGCGCCCGGTCGGCCGGTCCACGGGCAGCGGGCACCGAGGGCTCAGAAGGCGCCGATCTCCGTGGCCCAGGAGCGGCACAGCCGGGCCGCCCCCACCCTGAGCGCGGGTCCCTGCGCGGCCGCACCCAGCACCGCGGGCGCAGCGTAGGCTGCTGGCAGAGGAACGCCGGCGGGAGAGAAGAGCAGAGCGGAGATGGGGCTGCCCTTGGCCGAGCCCCCCCTCGGCGCTCCCGACGGAGACGGCATCCGGGCTGCGGCCGCCGCGGTCGAAGCCGAGGGGGCACCGCGGGCTCTGCGGGCCGAGGAAGCGATCCTGCCGGGCACGGAGCCGCGGTGTGACGGCAGCACGTCGGCGGGGACGCGGCGCACCGGGGCCGGCCTGGCGGCGAGGCGCGGGTAGGACGCAGTCACAAGGAGAGGAGCGGGAGCGGCGTCCCGGCGCGGCAGCGGCACCGGGCTGTGCAGGAAGGACCACGGCCACGTCGGCACGGGGAGCAGCGAAGCGGCCGCCGGGGAGGGCTCCATCTCGGCCACGTAGTTGTTGAGGTGGGAGAGGAGCCGCAGGCGGATGGGGTCGGCGGTGCTCTGCCCCTCCAGGACGCCCAGGTACCGCACCACCTCGGTGAGGCACTCGCGAAAGCCGATGCTCCTGTAGTCCACGGCCAGAGCACGAGCATCCAGGAACCCTGCAGGGACACGGGGACGGTCAGGAAAGCACGTGAGCCCCACCACCATCTCTGCCGCACCGCTTTGCTGCCGTGTGATGCTCTGCAGCAGACAGCCCAGTCGGGTGACAGCAGCATCGGTTATCTCGGTGGGATACGACTGCCGGGTCGTGAAGCCCTTTACTCTCGTCTGTGGGACGAGCAAGAAGGTTCATTAACTGTGCTCAGGGAGGACGACAGCTTTTCTTTTGGGCTCTTTGAGTTCTGGCTGCTGAGGACGTGCAGATGGCCAGCGTGTGCTGGGAACCTCCCTGTGGCAGCGCCGGGCCGATGCGCATCTCCTCTGTGCACAGCCTGAGTTCCTCTGCCTGAGTCCCGGTGACTTCAGCCCTTCACACTTCCCTCCCTGACCTCCCACTGAGGGAATGGCTGAACCAGGGTCACTGGGCTGGGAAAGCTCCGAGCCACATGAAAACCAACAAGATAAAACATAATGGCTGATTTTTCGGCTTCTGCTCCCTCCTTGTAGCTGGGTGAGACAGTAGGCAACAAAGCAGAGAATGTCACAGAGCAGTGGAGCACTGGACCACTCTGCTTGCCGGGGTCTCTGGGGACAATGCAGCCCTTTGTTGCAGTGCAGTCAAAGTGAATATCTAAACAAATGTTCCAGACCGAGTTACAGCTCTGAAGCAAAGCCTGGATGCCAGCAGTGTCCTCAGAAAGCCAAAAGTGGGTGGTAAGCAAAGCCAGAGGCTTCTTTACTGGAGCTGTGATCCCCATCCTGTTAACTGGAACAGGACCGAGGGTCTGTGCTGAGCTCTCAGTACAAATGAGACCTTTGTTGAATCTCACACAGGGCTCCCCCTCTCCTCTTATAACATCCAAGAGACAAAAAGCAAGAGCAGAAAGGGAAAAAAGCCTTGTTTATTTGCAGAGTCCCCAAGCAGAACTCAGCCTCTACAGGAAATGTATCTCAGGGAGGAGGGAAGGAATTTAATATCATTTTTTTCTGGAAGCAAAGCTCCATTTCTGGGAGTGCAGCTCTGGCAGGGCAGCTTCACCGGGGCGCCCAGTGAAGAGCAGCATCCCTGTGGGTCTGGGATACCAAACCTACCCATGGGATGCTGACCCACACTTTACAGGCAATAAAAACAGGAGAGCAGGAAACAACCCGTTTACCCCTGGGAAAAACATTTCCCTTGGGAAGCGGGCAAGGCAGCATTGGTCCTGGGGCTGGCAGCAAGGCACAACAGGGCCGAGATTTTCCCTGCTGATGGGGAATTTCCTACCCAGGATGCCACCTTCACCTCCCACACGCACTTGCAGAGTGGCTCTTACCTGCTCCTCCAGTGGCATGGAGCATTTTTAGGTGATCCACTGTCATCTGTAGAATTTCAGCCTTCTCCAGCTTGGATGAGCCCTGCGTTAGGAGCAGGAGAAAAAGGAGAAATTTGTCATTTCGTGGCCCAGGGCGTTGTGCCTCTCACAAGCTGAGCTTGGCCTGGTGCCCTCCTCCCCCAGCCCTCCTTCAAACCCATGGCACTCAGACTCCCATCTCTGGGCACTGCCTCGGGTTTTTAATCGAGCAGAAAATGGAGTTCCTTCCCACCATCACCCCATGCAAGCCGAAATTCCCCATTTCTGTGCTTCCTCATAGCTGTGAAATGCAGCCTGGATTGAATTCTTCCTCCCTTCAGCTGCTGAACATTATTACTAAATGCATTCATGCTGTTTTACCGCCCGGTTTCACCCTGCAGTGAGGACTGAGCACAGCCCTGCTGCTCTGGGTCCCCACCTGCTTCTCGAAGGCAGTGGGCACCAGGCGCCGCAGCTCCGACAGGCTGCTGTTGATGCGGTCGCGGCGCCGCTTCTCAATGATCTGCGGGAGGAAAACCAGACTCATTCCTGGCGTCTCACAGATTTAGAGCCCTCACAGCAGGCTGAGAGCAGCGCTGGGCCGCATAAGGAATGCTTTCGGTGAAAAAGCCGAGCAGAGCAGCGCTCCCTAAGAGTGAGGTGTGAAGCCTCCCTCCTCCCCCCAGCCCCAGCCCTGTTTGAAGCCACAGCTCTGCATGAACTCCCTCCTCCCCTTGGCTGGGGGAGGCTCTGGAGGGGGCGGTTTGGGTGACCTCCCTGAGTCCCGTGGCGAGGCCGTCCGCCGGCACAGCACAGAACTCACCCCTCTGCGCTTCTTCCTGGCTTGTATCTGCGACGTCGTGGTGGGAGACACAGACCTGGGAACGTGGCTGGGAAGGAAAAAGAGGGAGAGCTGCTTGCAGCAGCTGGAGGCGAACCTCAGCAGCACATATGTTTTACACACATTTGCCATCTGCAGTTCCTCCTCCCCATCCCAGGATAATGTTTTCTGTGGTTCTCCTCTCAGTGTTACCCACCACACAGAGATCAGGAACCGAGGACAGGAGCACAGTCTGAATCCCGCTGTCCCCATGGGAGCCCTCAGCAGCCCACGGCAAGTTTCTGCACCAGCCACTGCCCGGCACGACTCCTTGCATCTCGGACCGGTGCCTCCACCGGGCTGGAAAAGCAGCTCTGGGGCCGGGGCCTCTCATCCCCATGCACAAACCTTCCGGCCTCACGCCTGAGGCTGTTGTGTCCCTGGGTGGGCGTTGTGCGGGCATAGGTGGCTTTGCAAGAATAAACGCGCTGTCCGCATACAGAAATGTGCCAAAGATGAGCGCCGCTGGGGTGGGGTGGGAACGGGAGCAGGGACGGCACGGAGCTGAGCCGGCAGCGCAGGAATGCAGCCTGCACTCGGCGGCACAGAGCTCTGAATCTCTGCAGAGCTGTCCGAGCGCAGCGCCCTTTGTGCGCTCCAGATGTGGGATCAACAGGACTCTCTCTCTGCTAAACGTTTGACTGGCAGTTGTGAACCACGCGACTGAACTCTGATGGCTCTGAATTCCGCGCTGCCCCTTGATCGATTCCGTAATTTGCAGCACCGATCTTTCCACTGCTTATTCCAGGCAAAAAGCAGAGCAAACCCGAGCGGCACCCCGCACTCTGCCGTGACCCCGAGCTGCGGCACAGCGCGCACAGCGGACGCAGCGCCCGCCCGCAGTGACTCACCCTGCAGTGGGGAACTGGTTCTCCCAAACCACCCCGTGGAGCCACAGCCCGGTCCGGACGCCGACTCCCTCCCTCCCTCCGCCCCACCCAGGAGCGTTTGGTTCTGCCTGACCCCATCGCCTAACGCTGCGCTGCTCCGTGTGTGCGGATGGTTCTCTCTGCTGGGTTTGCGTGACTTGAGCAGCAGTGCAAACCAGCGTCAATACCTCCGTATCGCAGCGCTGCTCTGCTCTCACTTGGGAATACGAACAGGCAGAGATCAAAACTCCATTGTTGTACTCAGTGAAACAAAACAGGACAATCCCTCCGCTTTGTCCTTTGGGGTACTGCGGAGCCGGGAGGAGGTGGGAGGTGTTTCGTGAGCGGCAGAAGGGTGGGCGAAATGCTGATGCGCCGGGAACGGTGTGAGAGTTTGGGGAACACATGCAGGATGCGTTGGCGCGGCTGTGCCCAACTGCCCCAAACTGCATCAGCTTGTGAGAACCTGAGCCTGGCCCCAGGTGGGACAGCTCCTCAAAAAGGGAATTAAATCACCCGGAGCTGCAGAGGAGGGGACGCTTGGCTGCCAAAACGAGTTCAGAAGCAGCTGAATTTCGGATGGGAGCGACTAACAGAGCCCTCCCTTCATCCCCAGTGCCCGGAGCCCACCAGGCCCGCAATCGGTGGGCAGCAGGGGATGCCCTGGGCCAGCAGAGCAGAGCAGGGGAGCATTGCGGAGCCTGGGAGCGCGGTTGCGCCCTGCGAGCACACACGGGTCCTCTCCTCACCGCTCCTCCGGGCAGAGGGAGCCGCAGCTCGGGCTGCAGGAGGGAGGAGGGATGATGGAGCTTGCAAACGGCCATCCTGAACGCGCACGCTGAGAACTGGGCACCCCTCACCGCCCGAGCTGCCTTTCAGAGGAGATCAAAGCCGCAGCTGGTGCATGACAAACGCCTCGGCAGAGGAGAAGCGTTTCTCACGCGAACCCCCTCCTCACCCTGCGCGATCCCGGAGCTGCCGGGTCACCGCTCCGGGGCAGTGAGGAAAGCCGGAGTCCGAACCCCGGGTGCCCTCACCCCACAGCGGAGCTGCTCCCCGCTCCCCCGCACACCCGGACACCGCCGACCCCCACCCGGCGTCGTTTATCCCTCGGGACGACGCGGAGCGCTCCCCACCTGTACTCCTCCTCTTTGCCCACGTCGATGGTGCCGTCCGACTCGGTGTCCGACGAGCTCTCCTCGCACAGACGCTTCATCCTGACCGGGAGCGGCTCCGCCAAGGAGGGCGCGGGGCTGAGGGCTCGGCGGAGCCCCACTCGTGTCCGGAGCCCCACGCGTGTCGGAGCGCGGCGCGGTCCCGCGGCGAGCTGAGCGCGGAGCTCGCCCCGTCTGCTCCCCAGCTCCTCCCCTGGCCCCGCTCTGCCTTTCACACCCCCGGCTGCCGCCTCGCTCTGCTCCCAGCACGTCCCCAGCCTCCCTGGTTAATGGGTTAATGAGACATCTCCCAGGAGTGACGGATTACGCGGCCGCGCCGGCGCTCCCAGGTTCCCAGGCCCCCCCGCCTCCTCCCGCTCGCTGGTCGCAATCCCAAGTCTTCCTGTAAAAGGAACAGTCTGTGTGAACCGTCTCATGTCCCCCTCTGCCCGCCGCCCCCCTGCCCGCGGCCCCCCCTTCCACCCGCCGCACATTGGCCTCAGCCCCAGTTTAAAGGGACCGGTGACCTCACTGGCAACAGAAAACCGTGGGAAAGAGATGGGACTGATAAAGCCCTGAGTTGTTTCAGGGAAAAATCAACATCCAGCCCCACACGCACACACGGCTGCGCGGCGCGGGCGGGTGGGAGAATTGTGAGTCGGATGGAAGCGGCTCCTCCGGGGTGGGAGGGCGATGCCCAAAGGGGCGGCAGTGACGGTGCGCGGGAACATCTCCCTGCAGGGGTGTCCACCCCGCTCAGAGCATCTCCATGTGCCCACTCGTGGCGCTGCCAGGGTATCCAGGCCGACCCCTGCCCAGCACTGGGTTTTATGGCACGGGGGCGAACTGCTGCCGCCCTCCTCATCCCACAGCTCTCGAAACTTTGACCTGCAGTCCACAGAGCGCCTCTCTTTCCCTAAGCTTGCACGGAGGAGACAGGAGTCTGTTTGGCAGAGCCCTGCGCAGCTGAAATCCCCAAAGGCAACGAAATCGTGGGCATGTGGGAGAGAGAGGGGCGGAGGGAGGGAACCGGAGCAGAGGTTCTCAGTACAAAAATAATGCCTTTTATTTTGAAAAAAAAAAAAAAAAAAGAGAAAGAAAAAAATAATCGGCGCTGAGATCTGGCAACACGTGGCTTTCCCAAAGTTTTCCGCGGAGGCGGCGATCCCAGCGCCCGCCCCCCCCCCGTGCCCACGTTGGCCCTACATCTGCCGCAGCCGTGGCAGCCCCACACCGTGCCGGCCCTCCTGAGCAGCCGCTGCCCTCGGCCCCGCGGCACAGCACAGCCCCGCAGCGCTTTGTTCAGCCCCAACCGTGGCGTCCTCCACCCAAAGCCAAGCGGAGCAAAGCAGCCGTTCTGTTGGAGGAGTCCCCTGAAGGAGTGGCTGCGAAAGTTGTTAGCTTATATTTCAAGGTTCAAAGGGAAATGGAACCAGAAGAATTGAAGCTGTGTCACTTTGGTGATGCTGAGACCCACTCCTCCTCTCCCCTTTGCAGAGTGATTTCGGTTACAAAGACATTCATCTCCAAAGTGAATTTCCCATAAACATGTGTTTTTGAGAGATTAATGCTCTTTCCACCGATGAAACTATGTAAATGGGATCCAGAGATCAGTTATTTTGGGCCATTGCTCACATCACACCGAGCCTGAACCAAGCCGAGCCTGGGCCTGCCACGGGAACACTTTTCTTCTCCGTTAGAAAGGAATTCTCAGTCCAGACTCTGTCTTTTCTGGGCCTTTATCTGGGTTCAATTGAAGTGTAATTGGCAACACGTTTTTCTAGGCTCACACTTCATTACGAACAGAGCAGGGACCTCGAGATCCACTTCTGCCGTAATCAGATCCGCGTTGCAGCCCGCGCTGCTGGAGCGCTGCTCAGAGCCGCCCGGGGTCGGCGAGACGGAGCAGCTCCGCGCGATGGCCGGGCAGGGCTGAGCTCGGCAGCCCCGCAGCGCCGATCCCCGCCCGGCGAGGTGGGAGCATCCCGGGGACGGGTGTCACGAGGACGGGGCTGAGCCATCCATCACAGCCAGCACTAATTGGCTGCCCTGCTCTGGGGCCAGGGAACAAGGGAGCTGTGAAGATTGATGGCCCTTCCCTGCAGCGGAGCAAACTCTCGGGGCTGAGGGTGAATCGGCGCCAGGGACCCCTTGCTGCCCCGTTCATCCGTGCCGGCAGCGCAGGGCCGCAGCTCAGAGCTCTGACCACCCCTGTGTGGGGACCTCTTCCTCCCCTCCCTCCTCCTCAGCTTTGGGAAACGTCCCCGGAGAGCGGCCAGCTGTGAAAAGCTGCAGCAGCTGGAATGAGGGAGGAGGAGGGCAAGGCGGCTGCAGAGCAGAGGACGTATCTGTTACCTCCCGGTGAACTGACACCTCCGCGGCAACCCCGTGCATGCCTGGAATGCCCCGTCCGCACGTCTTCAGTCAGCATCACCTCCTAACCTCAATCCCACCGCTGCTGCCAGACCCACAGCTGCGGCAGCAGAGGATGCCGGGCGGGACGCAGACACAGCGCCCTGCTGTGCGGCTGAGCAGAGGGACTCAACGCGCGGCGCTCGGGGCGGTGGTGCGGCCGGGAGCTGTAGGTACGGCCGGGAGCTGTAGGTACGGCCGCGGCTCCGCCTCGCTGTCAGATGTGGAGCGCTGCCAACGCGGTTTATTTTGCTGTGGCCCCGCTCCAAACCAGAGGCACCGCATTGTTCGCTCCCCCCCCACTTCCCCAGCCCACGCAGTTCAGAGCCGGCCCAGCCGACTGCTGGGGGCAGTCCAGGGGAGGGAAAAACAACATTTTCCCACAAACCCGCGGCCTCACCCTTCCCCGGGCAGGGACGGGGCAGATCCCGGCTCTGCTCGGGGCTGGCGGAGGCTCCGTGCTGCCCTCGCTGCGCTCACACCTATCGCCCCGCGGCCAGGAATGCCGCCCGGCCCGGAGCCCCCGTGGGACGGGCTTCAGAGCTGCGCCCATCGGCACCCCGGGGTGCTGCTGCAACCCACAGGACGGGACACCATTCCTGCTCCAGAGCAGCAGCGCATCCCAGTGCGAGAGCATCAGACGCTGTTGGCATTTAGTTCTCGTTGCCCTTCATGCACATCCGTTTCCCCTCCCCCTCCCCAGCAACGGGCGCTCGCTTTGCAGACCAGCAGCAATGGGCAGCAGTTAATTAATATTGCAGCAATCCCGCTGACAGTGAGGCTGCCGGCCCACCCCAAACCCAGCGGGTTCTGCACCGTATCCTCCTCTGACTCTCCCCTTTTTGACGCCGTGCCGATCCCGGCCCCATCGCCGGGCGCTGGAGGGAGGCGGGCGGCCTTAGGGCTGCACAGAGCAAAAGCAACACCGGGAGTCGGGTGGGAAAACAGCCCAGGGCTGCGGGGAACGCAACGCCTTTGTAACTGCGCGGGGAGTCCGTCCCTCACGCAGCCCCGAGCCCTTCCAAACCCCCCCCCCTCCTTCCACGGCGATGCTAACGCACTTCTCACGAGCGCTGAGAGCTCTAGGGCCGGCAGGCGGCCTCGCCGTCGTTGGCTGCGTGTGCAGCGATCCTGCGAGCAGACGAGAGCAAACAGCAGCGCGCCGCGGGGCCGCTCCGCCCGGAGCCTTTCTTCTCCGACCACTTCAAACTTTCATTTCTTCTGAAGCCACAACAAGGCACACTTTGTAAAGCAAATGAGTAAACAGCAACTTTCGGCTTAAAAGGAAAACAAGAGGGAGGGACTGTTTTTAATTACTGGGATTTTAAGAAGGGCTTTATTCGGTTAATTGCTTTCTGCTGTAAAACGTTCCTCCGCGCGCAGCCCCGCCGCATCGCTGCCTGTCGGATGGCACCGCAGGCGGAGCGGCCGCGGGCGGTGCTTCCATGAGCGCTCCAACACCCCCGGAGCCCCCCGGCACAGACACGGCCCGAATCTCGGGGCTTTGGGGCAAGTCCGCCAGAAGGACGGAGGAAGGGATGCTCACGGCAGTCGGGCGCGTTCCCGGCTCGGCGCTGCCGCCCGTGGCTGCGGGCTGTTCCCCTCCCCGCGGTGCAGCGCTCGGTTCGGTGCCGCCCTACGGCGGAACGATGGCGATGCCAGGCGCGGCCACGCGGCGCGGCACCGCGAAGCGCTCCCAGCGCGTCCCCGCTGATCGCAGCCGGCCGGGAAGGAAAACAGCCCGAATCCCCGCAGGGACAGCGGGATTAAGAAGTAGCAGAAATGCACGAATGGGACCCTTAGCGGAACAGCACCGGTGCGGAGCTGTGCGGTTGTCGCAGATGGCGCAGGGAAGGGACAGGCGAGGAGGCGGCGCGAGCGCCTTCTGCAATCGGCTCAGCATCAGGAGGGGGGAGAAAGAGAAGGAAATGGAGCAGGAACAGCCCCGGGCTCTGCACGCCCTGCGTGCCCCACAGCCCTGCGGGGAGTCCTGGGGGCACCGGGAGGTGCTGGGGGAGCTCAGCGCCGGGAGGAGGAAGGCAGGCGGCTGCCACGTGCCAGCCTGGAAAACAGCACGGGGGGGTGGGCGCGGGTGGGCGCGGCAGGGCTGGGGCTGCGGCCGGTACCGGGGGGAGCAGCCCCTGCGTCTACACGGCTCCGCTCCGAGCGGGCAGTCGCCTTCCGGAGGCGAACGCGGTGACCCGGAGCAGAGCAGAGCGCTGCGCCCGGCCTCACCTGCTGGCGGTGGGCAGCGCTCTGTGCCCGTGGCAGCGGGAGCTGCCTGCACTCCTCTCCGGGGGTCTCTCCTGCCAGCAGCCTGCAGCTGGTGATGAATGCTCACTTTCTCTAATTGAATAGCAGGAAGTTAAATCTTGTTCCTTCGCTTTTCAGGCTGTCAGCTGGAACAATCACCCACCTGTGACGCCACCCCAGGGATATAAATAAGGAACAGCGCACAATGCTGCCCGAGGAACGGACGGCGTTCCCAGATTTCCCGATACCGCGTGCTTCATTGTGTGCCCGCACGGGAGAGGGGCTCGGTGCAGGCGCTGTGGGAGTGGGAGCGAGCGTGCAGAAGGCGCAGCCGTGTGGGCACGGGCTGTGCGAGTGCCTACAGTAACGCCAGGACTCCCCGCTGTGCTAAAACCCTTCGCTGCAGCCACGGGCGCTCCCGCCCCGCGTGCTGTGCTCCACAGCTGCCCTGCAACCCAGCACCGCGTTCGTGCAGGTGTGAGGGTGACTGCGCGCTGCCGGCTGCCCCTTCGGCTCCTTCCCATCGCCGCCACCCAGCGCGCTCCCCGCCTCCTCCTCCCCCGTTCTCACCCCATCCGTTCACAGCCCCGCGCTCCGCCGGGACGCTCCGCTCACAGCTGGGCCGCCCGACAGCTCTGTGCAGCTGCAGCCCTGCAGGAGGGGGGCAGCGGGGACAAGCACACAAACACACAGGCGAGCCCTCATTGTTACTGTGAAAGGAAATTATTAATTTGCTGGGAATAAAGTCGGCAGCGAGTCAAAACCCAAAACCCATCCTCCCTCACGCCCTCCCCAGGAGCAGCCACCACCATCCGTCCCCCGGCACGAAGCCCCACTTTGCTCCACACAACAGCCCCTGCTCCCCCCGGCCCTGCAGCCGCTCTGACGCTGATCTCGGCCCCGCAGTGGGGATGCAGCCCCACAGCCCTTTGTCAGCCCCACGGTAAAAGTGCAGAGGCCACATCCCTGTTTGCTTTCCCCCTGCCCCATAGCGGAGGCGGCCACGGGCTCCCTCTCCAACGGCAGCCTGAATGAAGCCAGATCCCCAACACATTCCTGTGGGTTTGGTTTTTTTTTTATTTTCCTTCCCTTTTTCTCTCCATCCCCCATCCCTCTGCCTCGCTTGGCACGAGCTGAAGGCCTCGGAGGAAGCTGGGCTTGGCAGGAGCAGGGGAGGAGGAGTGGGGAGATGAAAGGCCGCTCTACAGCATTCCCTTCCAGTTCCCACACTCTCCCGGCGCAGCGCTGCTAATGTTTCCCAGCCGCACCTGGAGGAGCTGTGGAAGTGGGGCCCTGTGCACACACAGCGAGCAGAAACCCCACAGCCTCACAGCTCACATGGCCTCAGCCCCACGATGCCACCGTGCCCCTCTGTACAGCACCAGAGCAGCACTGCATTGGAGACAGCGGTGATGCAGCTGCCATGCCCCAAATGGCGGTGCCCCAATGGCTGTGCTGTCCCCATCCCCGTGGCACCCGTGTCCGTGTGCCATCGCTGCATTCCACACTCGATGATCCCCACAGCCGCCCCTGCCCTGGCCATCAGGCAGCATTCCTTCCTGAGCTCTCAGCCCTGGGAGGAATGCTGTGGGAATGCACCCCTCAGAGCCCCCCCAGCTGCACAGTGCAGCCCCTGCACCTCTCACGGATCCTGCACTGCACCCGGGGCTGCCCACAATGGTCCATCCATTATCTGCTCTCTGCACAGATATGTGGGTTCTGCTGCTGTAAGGCTGGGCTGGGTTGGATCCAGTCCATCCGTGCGGGCACTGCTGCACGTGGTTTGCTTTATCCGGAGGAGAAGCCCTGCTCAGTGCTGACCCAGTCACAGCATGAAGGCAGAGCTTAAAAATCGCCTGCAGAGCCTGTGCTGGGCTCTGCATCCCCTTCTGTCACCAAGAGAAAACCATGCAAAAACCTGCCCTAAAGGAAGGGATGAGCAGCGAGCACAGAGCACAGCCCACGAGTAGCACTGCTGGGCGCTGAGCACACGGAGACGCATTTGCAAACCACACTGCCAGCTGTGTGCCAAGCCTGGTGTGGGGACAGGAGGCGACAGCAACATCAGCCAACACAGCTATAAATAACAGCGTGGAAGGAACATGACGGTCGCGCCGTCCAAACCCTGGCACGGCCCCGCAGCGCTGGTAGCGGTGCCCTTTTCTTACTCTCCTGCCACCAGGTCCCCTCTTCTGTCCTCCCAGCTCCGGGTGTTGCTGTCACCATGTCACCCCTAGCTGACATTTCACCCTCCTGCAGGCCGGCCTGCTGTTCTGCACTGCAGAAGGGACACAGCACTGTGGGGATGAGGCACAGGCCCCCAGCACAGCCTGGGACTCTCACTGCCAGCACTGCAGGGACAGCCCCACGTCTGCGTGGCCTCTGCACCGCAGGGCACTGTGCCCCCCCTCCCTTAGGGCCCACAGGGTCTGAGTTTGCCCCTGAGCTGTCAGCAGAAGCAGCTTCACGGCTGGGTTACCTCCCATACGTCCGCGCTGGCACAGTGGAGAGGCAGCTGAATGCTCCCCAGCTCTGGCTCCTCTTTCTCCTCCTCCATGTCCTTTATTCTAAAGTGCACTCGTTGCAAAGCCCTCAGTGCCCGATGCAGGGAAAATCTCAGCAAACAGGCAACAGAGAAACCCGTGCTGGCAGCCCACCAGTGAGAGGACATCCCGACCTCACCGCAGCACACTTCCCCTTCCCTCCCTCCGTGCTAAGCAGGAGCCTTCGCACGGCTGTCAGAGCCGCCTGTTGGCTCCTGCATGCACAGCCGGAGCTCTCAGGGCTGAGCGGTGCAACGAGGGACTTCAAATCCTCCGTGCGAATTGGGAATGGGCGCAGAGAAAACATCCCGGCAAATAGTGCTGCTCAGGAACGCTGCTGAGCGCCGTGCAGAGATGCTGCCCTGGGGCCTGGGGACATTTCTTGGCTATATTTGGTGACGGATGGAGGATCTGTTGCCTCCCCTCGACCCATCTGTTCCCATATCGCTGGGGAGGAGCTAAAGGCAGAACTGCAGTGTCGCTGTCCGGGTAAACCCGGTACTTCAGCAGCAATAAATCTCCTCCGAAAAGCTTCTGCCGCCTCCCACCTGCTGGCTGGGAAAAGATCATGCCGACGAAATCTGCTGCCAAATCGTATTTTTAACCTTGACTTCACGAGGAGCACAGGGCTGCTCACGGAGCGGAGGGAGGGATCACATCTCCCACCATGGAATCCAACCAGCACTCTCCAGCTCCTGGGGAGCTGCTTTGGTTACATCTTCTGACGTTCCCAAACACCCTCTTCCTCCTCATCACCCCCATCCCTCCTCCAGAACACCCGGGAGGCCCCTGGCCTCTTGCTGCCCACACCAGAATGGCCACGGGGAGAAGGACAACAAAGTCCGGCTGCGACCAACACCATTTATTACAGAACGCCACCCAAAGGGGTTTTGCTGCCGCGGCAGCTCACTCACAAGGAAAACCACGGGAGAACAGCAAAGCAAAACCGATGGGAGATGCAGCAGCGAAGTCCACTTGTTGGCCAACGCAGCACGAAGGCCACGGCGGCGCCCACTGGGGCTGCAGACACAAACTGTGCTGGGGTCTCTCCCCACACCTGGCCGGGCGCACGCCCCACCGGCGCCCTTAGCAGCCGCGCAGTTGCCCACGGCCCGTCCTGCTGCATCCCACCCCAGGCAGCCCGTCTTCGCCCCACCTTCCTCCCTCACTCTCGGGCAATACCATTCCCCCACCCCCTTCCATGCTGCAGCTGGGCTTCCAGGATGGGATGCTCAGGAAACACCTGGGAAATGTTCACTGAAGATAAGAAGGGCTGGGAGACGCGGCTCAGAGCCCAACATCCGCGGTTCACATGAAGATGGGATTTTTGGATGGACACGAATACTAATAGAGTTCTTTCTAGTTTTTTTTGTTGGGATTGCAGGCCTTGGTCACCCAGGTGCCACAGATAACAATCTGTCAAAACGAACGCGTTCAGGGAGGAGGAAAAAGTGCAATTAGCTTTGCACTGCCAAAGCAGGATTCAGTGCAACAGAAGTCTGCAGAGCCGCTGAGGGCGCTGTCAGCCCACGGGGGATCGGTCGAAAGGGCCACAGCCACCCCCACGCCAGCTGGAGCCGTCCTGCAAAGCGGAACAGGCACATACAGGGAGAGCTCGTCCCAGGGAGGTGCTGGGAAGCTGGAAGTCACTGCAAAGAACTCATGCTGAGTGCCCTCCGTGCCCCGTGGTGCGTGCTCTGATTTCAGAACAAGCAAACAGAAGGGAGAGAAGCATGCAAAAGTAATGTTCGCATTTGCCCATCCCCAGAAGGGGGATCTCCCTGGGGACGTCGGTGCGACGCTCACAGCCCGCTGAGCTGCTCACCCACTGATTCCCCTTCCTGCCCCCCGATCGCAGAGGCAGCTCTTTCTCCCAGGATCTATTTTGGGAGCAGCAGAGCTTTAAGAAGCTGAGAAGAAAAAGATTATCCACCCCTATGGGCTCAGCTCAGAGAGGGGAAAAAATCCTTTAATTAAGTCCCCGAGGCTGAAATTCTCTGCAGATTTGAATAAATGGACTTTGAATGATGTTCCTAATATCTTAGGGCTGCTTTTGGTTTAATTTAAGCCCCAGGGATGTGTCTGCAGACCCAGGAAGGCACACACCAGAGCTGGCCTTTGGCTGCCTTACTGTGGGTGCAACTGTGGAATCCAAATTTTGAGCCAATGGCCCAAAACTCCAAAAGCAGAAAATGGGATTCCCATATATTTTTCTTCATGTAAGCATTTGTTTGTATATTTCCAAATATGAAACAGGAGCGGAGGTGGGGTCACCAACCCTGGAGGTGTTGAAGGAAAGCTGCACTTGGCAGTGTGGCTCAGTGGGCAGCAGCGGTGGACAGACTGGAGGATCTCAGAGGTCTTCTCCAACCCTGAAGATTCCATGTTTCCATGACAGGAAGGGGCTTTGCTTTAGCATTTTGTCGAAAGCTGCAGGAGGGGCTTTCTGTGCTCGCCCCTCTCCAGTCCAACTGCTCAGCCTCAACATTCGCTCGTCGAACCGAAGGCTCTGGGAATCCTGACTTTTGAACAGCTGATGGGTGACAGCAACCCAGTGGGGAGGTGGTGCCGTGAGGAAGGGGACAACATCACGACACCGCAAAACACTGAGGAGACAGGAAGCCTTCGGCATCCTCCTCCTCCTCTCACAGCTCCATGCCGTGCCCTATTTGCTGTTCTGGGGCTGCTTCTCCTGCAGCGGCCGCTTGTGCTTCTGTGCGACGCCGTAGGGGACGTGGGCAGCGATGGCGCCCATCTCCTTGGCTCCCTCCACATGGAACATCTGATCGTCGAAGAAGATGTGGGGACGGATCTTCTTCAGCAGGGGGCCTTTGGGGGCGCCAGCCAGGAACAGCGCTTCGTCCGTCTCCAGACCCCAACTGCGCAGAGTCTTTAGGGCCCGGGCGCCCGAGCTGGCAGCGCTGCGGGCTGTGACCAGGTAGGTGCGAATGGGGCACTCCATCCTCAGCCCTTTGGAGTAGAACTTCTTCTGCAGCTTTCCCAGGGCCTCCAGGAAGCCTTTCAGGGGTCCCTGTTGGAGCAAAGGGAAGCTGTCACTTGGAGACCTCCGTGCTGAGCTCTGCTCCCCGTTCCACCAGGACTGGATGCACCTCTTAGGATCACAGCATCAGTAAGGTTGCAGAAGACCTCAGAGATCACCGAGTCCAACCCCCCCCCCCCCATGCCCACTGACCGTGTCCCTTCCATCTCCACGTTTTTTGGGCACCTCCATGGGCACTGACTGCACCACCTCCCTGGCGGCCGTGCCAACGCACCTCCACTCTTTCTGAGAAGAAATTTAAATTTTCCTAATATCCAATCTGAACCTCCCCTGGTGCAACTTGAGGCCATTACTTCTTGTCTTCCCTGGGAGCAAAACCACAACCTCCTGTCAAGGGAGTTGCAGGGAGCAGTGAGGTCTCCCCCGTGCTTCTCTTCCGCAGGCATTGCTCCACACCTGTGGTGCTCAGGGGGGTTGTTGTGACCCAAGTGCAGGACCTGGCACTCGCTCTTGCTAGAGCTCACACAGTTGGGCTCAGCTCATCGATGCTTATCCAGATCCCCCCGTAGGTCCTTTCTGCCCTCAGGCAGATCAACACTTCCTCCCTGCTGGATGTAATCTGCAAGCTTACAGAGGGTGCACTCCATCCCCTGTCAGGAAAGATATCACACAGGACCAGCCCCAGTACTGATTCCCTTCTCCCTACCAGTCTGTTCCCAGTTGTCCCAGTTCCCCACACTCCGTGCCCCAGAGGCTGCCCCACACCACCCCACCCCACTACCTGTGCCAGAGGATTGTTCTCGTGAGCCTTTTCGTGCTCGAAGAACATGTCCAGGCCGTGAGCCTTCACGATCTGCTCCGACTCATCTGAGAAGAGCACAGCATCGCCATCGAACGCCACACGCAGCTGCTTCTCTGACACCTCCAGGTCTCTGCTGGGGCTGAAGATGGTGGCTGCGGCGATCCCTGGGGACATAAAGCACGAGGCGAGGGATGGCAGTTACCCAAGGACCTGAAGAAGATGTGGGCAAACAACAAGGAAACGCACACACCAACAGAGCCTGCGGCTTGGCCCCAAGACATCTTACAGCCATAACAAGTCCTTAGATAACAAACCTAACTTTGCATGCAAGAAATAAAGGGGGAAAACAGTGCCTTTGCCTTGGAAGAGATGCGGGGCTCATGGAAAGCCTTATTCCCATGGAAACTTGAGGCTCTCTGGGGCATGAAGGACGTCCCATCCTGATGGGGGAAAGGCAGGCCCCACCTGCCCACTGACACCACAGGCTCTGATCCCCCTGAGCTCCCAGGCCAGACCCCGGACTCACCCTCTTCAATGGCCCCACTCACTTTCTCGGCATCGGAGGAGAGGTAGAGGTTGGTGTGGTAAGCCTTGAGGTAACCGATGGGGCTGTTCCCCCCCGTCATGCAGAATCTCTCAATGAATAGATCTGTGGGCAGGGACACAACGGGATGAGCTCCCAGGAGCTCCAAGAACCGCAGCACAGGTTTTGGTACCACAACCCAACGGCTCTGCCGGCAGCCGGGCCGTCGTGCCAGTGGCCGCTCAGAGCCCAGCGACTGGCGGCACAGCGGCGGGCAGACGGCTGGACCAGGCGACCTCAGCAGTCTCCTCCAACCTTCATGGTTCTACCATAAGGGGAGCGACGGCCCGGCACACGGCTTGGTGCAGGAGGCAGCAGGGAGCACCGCCTCACAGTAACTCCCTGCCCGCGTGCCGGCGTTGTGCTGAGCTCACCGTAGTGGTTGATGCTGTTGATCAGGCGAACCCCAACCTGGGCATGGTTGTTGGTCATCAGGACAACGTCAAAGAGCTCCTCGCTGTCAGGATAGAGCTCCCGAAGCTGCGCGTTCACCGCTTCCAGCGCCTGCAGCACCCGGGGACAGGGAGGTCGGTGAGCCCAGGCACGGCCCCAGAGGGGCACAGCGCCCCACTCGACATCACATCCCCCACAGCTGGGGCCACGAGTCATGCTGGGAAAAGGCTGGCTTGGAGAAAATCACCCAGCCACCTTCCTGCTGTCTAACACAACAGGTTTGAAGCTTCCCTTAGGAAACAATGCACTTGCTCAGTTACACACACCCTCGGTGACCCCTCTCCCCAAAACAGGTTTGGCTCCATGGGCAGCGCTCACCTTGACGAAGGGGAAGGCGGCGCCGGGGAGGAAGGGCTCGTTCTCATGGTCCAGCTGGTATTTCACGTAGGCCTCCACCCCCTGCTCATTGTAAATCTTCTGCTCCTCCTCCATGCGGAAAAGAGCCCGTGAGGACACTGCGATGGTGATGGCATTCTCAGGCTTTGGCTGCATGAGAAGGGTGACAGTGGGGAGGGGCCATCCGTCAGCCCCCACCACGATGCTCAGCCCCTCTGGGCAGGGCTGCATGAAGTGGGGAGCTGCCACCAGACCCTCCCCTGCTCCAGCACCTTGCCCAGACCCCCAAAGGACAATCAGGCTCCCACAACACCTCCAGACCCACAGCACTGCCCTGGAGGAGCAGCTCACCCCGGCTCAGAACAGACTTGTGCAGCTTTTTCCCCCTCACCAGGAAAAGCCACACGCTGCTGCTCAGCCAGATCCACGCTCCCTTGATGCTGTCCAGATGTGATGAGCAGCCCATGCCAGCTCAGCTCATAGAAACACTTGACATAGTTACTGTGGGTGGGAACGTGGCAAACAGGTGGTGCAGGCAGTGATTTATGAGTCATTATTATTGATGTTCGTAATCCACCAAAGTCAATAAGGGGCCTTCGGTGGGGCTTGGCAGCGACAGAGGGGCGTCCAGCAAAGCCAACCTCACCCTGACCCCCACCCCAGTCCTTCCTCTCCATTCATCTCCACCGCTTGCAAACAAGGAAACAAATTCGATGCTGGCAGTCAATGAGGAGCTTTGCAAAAGCAGCAGCCCGGCAAGGATGAGCTGCCCCCATCCTCACCGTGGGCCTTTTTTCCCCACTCATGCCCTGGGGGTTGTTCTGCCCCATCTGGCTCTGCCAGTCCTGCCCAGCTCAGGGCGCACCCAGCACTGAGTCACCCACAGCCCCATGCCATTCCCAGCACCCGGTGCCCCCGAGGCCAACAGCAGCCTCATCAGTACCCAAAATCCCCAGCAAGGAGATTAAGCAGTGGGCGATTAGGACTGGATACAGATGAGCTGAGATTGAGAGCATCACCGTGACCAGAGGGACCCAAACACACAGCATCGCATCCCACCCAGGTCCCCCCTCAGGTGCAGCTGCCTGCTAGGTGTTAGCTATTAACTCATCTCCATGCTCTAACTCATTAATTAATAACTCCGGTGTCACGGGCCATTTATTATGTGAAAATATTAATAACTGCTAAAGGTCTCGAGGGCATCCAGCCGTGCAGCACACACCTCGCAGCGCGGGCACCTTGCAAACATCAGCGGGCTGCTCCAGGTCCCTTCACTGCCATTTAGAGCCTTCGGGAGGTTAATTTAAGAGGCAATAAACACAGCAATAAAAATAACCATAAGCTCCAGCTCTGCCCTGGCGTGGGCTGCTGGAGCCCCGCGGGTGCGAAGCGCAGACCTGCCGGATCCTGCTTGCTCCGCTGCAGGGCTCGGTGCCGTCGGAGCAGGCGACGCCGCGCAGCGCTGGCGCAGCCCGCAGCAGAGCTGTGCAGGACCTGCGCCCACAGCCCAGCGCTTGGAAAAGTCTCAGGCGGCTCCTGAGCTCCAAATCCCATCTCTGACACGAGTGACTTTCCCAGCACATGCTGGCCCCATACGGAGCAAAACCCACTGCAGCCTCACACCCCTCTTTCAGTCTAAAGGTGGATTCTGGCAGTGGCTCCAAATATCACATTTCCCTCCACAGACCCAACAGCTGGCAGGCCTTCAAATCACCCTCCTAATCGCACGTAAATCCCAAGCAGCCCCCCCAGCGTTAGAGATATGGAAATCCCATGAAAGCTGAGGGTACCACTCATGATGGCACTCAGCACCCACATCCCACTGCCACCCCCGAGGGACCCCTCTGTGCTCCCCAACGCGGGGATTCTGCATCACCCAGGACTGGATCTGCCAGACTCACCTTCCTCCTAAAACACAGAGAAATTATGACAGCTCCAGATGAAGGACAAGACTGAGTCCTCATGGCCAAATTTTAAATTTGGAGGTGAGTTTTGTTATGAAATTTGGACAGAGAAATGGGAGAGGTGGGACTCACGCCATGGTCAAGCGCAGATCCCCTGAAACTGAAGCTGAAACATCCCAAAAATCCCTGCAGCCACAGAAACCCAGAACAGGAGGCCATGTGGTCAGTGGGACAAGGCACGCGAGCGCAGGACCCACAGACATGGAGGCAGCAGCTCCCAGCAATGTGGGAGCCTCTCAGCCCTGCGCCGTGACTCTGGAGAGGCCAGGGACATTTTCCACATTGCTGAAGAGTGACAAACCTGATCGCTGACCTCCCCCAGCTGGCAGGAGCACGGCTGCAGCACAGGAAGAGCAGAGATCCTGCACACGGATCCCCACGGGCTTTGGGACACCGCATTCACCCGCTCCCCAGTCAGGAAGGCACCCCCCAGAAACGCTCTCCAAAAAACCACGCTGCCTCCTGCCACCCTACAGCCCTGCTGCAGGAAGCAGAGGTACCAGAAGGTCCGGTATCTGCTGACAGGACGGACGCATAGACAGGACAGACAGACCCAGCACATGCAATGGGCCACGGCCAGCTCCATTTCCCTCGTGCACGGGAGGCTGCCAGCCCCCTGATTGGGTTCAGATTAAAGCTCACGGCAGCGGCCGAGATGCTTCTGAGTTTTCAAAACACATTATTTATAATCCAGAAAAGCGCCCTGCAGCCGCTCGTCATGAGGTGGGACGGCAGCCTGGCTGCGGGCTGAGGGTGCGGGGCTGGGTGGGCACCGCAGGCATCGCTCTGCATGGAGGGGTGGCACAGCCTGAGCTCCGGGCACCCACATCACTCCCATCACACCCCGCCACGGATCCAGCACAAGGCAAACCTCTGCACTGTGCCGTGCCTCAGTTTCCCATCCATAAAGCTGAGAGTGCCGCAAGGAGAGGAAGAGGAGGAGCTTGGGCAAACACCTGCGGGAGGCAGAAAGCTCGGCATGAAAGACGGACGGCTGTATCCTGCTGCCAGTTTCCCATCGCAGGTGGAAGGCAGCAGCAGTGCCGTTCCCCAGTGGGTACAGGACCAGGGGCTCCCCAGCACGATGCCCCCACCTGGGGTCTGCAGAGCCCAGCCTTCCTCATCGAGGGTCACACATGGAGACCCAGTGTGACCGGCACCACGTGCCCCCATGCTTCCCATCTCACTAACCTCGCACTGGGTGCTCACAGGCAGTAAGGCCAGAACCATCTGCAGCCCCTGGCCGGGCTGCCAGCACTGTGCAGCTATTCTGAGACACGGATGAGCTCCCATTTTTAAACCCAGCAGAGCTCAGCCCTGGTTAGATAACACAGGCTCTGCTCAAATCTCTCAGAGCCCAGTGGGGTGGCTGTGCCCCACGGAATCCCCAAACCCATGTAGGGGCCGTGGCTCCAGGCTGCCCCTAGCTCTGCCACGGCCACGTTGAGCTCCCGGCTGACGGCTCAGCGCCAGGCAGCAGCAGCTCATGGGGCACGAGTAGCTCTGCAAGGACATCTCAGCCCGGGAGGGACCTGGGGATATCTCCGGTTCTGGAGAGACCCAGGTGGTGTCACGGAGGATGAAGGGGAACCCAGAGCTGCCCCAAGGACCTGACAGGAGATGCTGGGTCAAACGAAAACTGCAGAGACCCAGACAGACCCAGAGCACCTGGAGGAATCGCACACCCAGATGGAACCACGGGAAACCGGGAGACAAAGCACCCGGGGGGAGCTGGAGGAGACCCAAAAGGAACGCAGAGGACCGGGAGGAGATGCGCGCCCGAGGGAGAAGATGAGGAGCGCAGGGGGGAGCGGAGCACCCGGAGATGGAGCAGCCGGGACGCAGCGCCCGTCGCAGCTCTCACCGATTTTGGTTTCTTCTTGGGTGTGAGGTTATCGTAGAACGCCTTCGCCTCATCCCAGGGCCGCCCGGCCGCTCCCGGTGCCCCGGCGGTGCCCGGCGGCTCCATGGCACAGCGCTCCGTGCGCACCGGGAGCTCCCGGCGGCGGAACGCCTTTATACGGCATCCCATGAAGCTCCGGGGTTTCATCCCACCGGGCCGCGGCTTAACCTCTTCGGGACCGAGCCCGCTCCGCCACGCCGCCCCCAACCCCACATTAACGGCTTCGGGGGAACGGAGCGCTCCAGGGCTGACTCAGTCCCAGGACAGCCGAATTCGGGGTTGTGGGAGAAGAGCTGCTGCACAGAGATGCGCCCCAGCCGAGGATTCCTCCGCGCCGTGCGCAGATCCGAGCGGTCGCGGTGTTGCGGGACTGGGGTGGCGGGGGGTCTGCGGGGCGACCACCGCCCCCGCGCGGAGCACAGCCCTCTCCCTGCCCAGGAGAGCAGCTCAGGTGCCCCCTTCCCTGCATGGCGGTTCAGCCCGGGATGCCCAGGTCTCAGCCAGCCGCTCGCACCCCAAGCCCTTCGGGACGCCCTTCTGGCAGCTGAACGCCACCGCAGCCCCATCGCAGCCTCCTTTTCCCCAGGGCCTTCGCAGCTCTCTGCGGCAAATCCCCGAGCTTCCTCCGCGGAGGCCCCGAGGGGAGCAAGAATTTCCCATTCCCGGGGTCACCCTCTCATCGCCCTGAGCCACTGCTCTTTACACGGCAGCCCTGGCACAGACCCATATGTCCCCATAGCGCACGTGACCCGCACCGTCCCTCCTCCCCGGCACGCTGAGCTGCACACTCCGGGATGGGCGCAGAGCTGCCCCTCAGCAGCTCCCGGGAGCACGAGTGCTGCTTTGGCACCGTCCCATCCTCCTTCTCAGGACTGGGAGATGTGGGAGCACTGTGGGATGGAAAGAGAGCCACGTTCCTGCCCGCAGGCTGAGCCAGAGCTGCTGCTAAATCCGGAGAAGCACTTAAAGTTGGTGAGAGCTCCTTAGCAACAGGCACCGTCTGTGCAGGCTGGCAGTGGGGAAGAACGAAACGTGCAGAGAAGCTGGGGGTGGAGGGCTGATGTGCAGCAACAGCAGGTCCCAGCGGCTGGCAGTGCTGCAGTGGGCCCAGGATGCAGCCCCCAACCCAGGGGGCAGCTGCAGTCCCATTCCTGGGACATATGAAACCCCAGCAAGAGATGCCCGGCCCCCTTGCCCCCCCAGCACACACCCAAGATGATGCTATTCCTTCTCAAAGCTTCATGCGCAGCTGGAGGGTTATGCTTACACCACCTCCTGTGCCAGGACTGCTCCCTCCCCAGTGTGTCATAGGCTCAGGGGAGCCCCAAAGTGGTGCTTGGAGCATTGCTCTCCCCTTGCTCCCCTGTTGAGCCACTCAGGGGGTACGCCACCAATGGGGGACAGTTTATTTTTCCATGAAAAAAAAAAAAAGGAAGAAAAGTAGGTAATTCCACAGCCTCCTAACAGATATTGCAGTCATTGTCACCACAATGTGCAGAATAAATACCACTGTGACAATATTGCTGTCCTGAGACAGGAGGGCAGAGGCAGGGGGCTGGGACAGCAGGCACTGCAGCAGTCAGGAGGGCCAGAAACACTCTGGGAATCCTCAGTAGTGCCAGAGCAGTTCTGGAAGTCACCTACCGGACAAGATGGGGTGGTTTGTGGGATCAGATGTGTGCCATGGCCAAGGGTGGCCTCGGGCACTTCCCGAAATCCCCTGCCCAACCCTTGACTATTCCCACCATCAAAAGCAGAAGCAGAAAATCTACAGCTGGGTGAGGGAGGGGGGAGGGCAGGACACAACCTAGGACCAGTCCTGAGCCCCAACAGCCCCATGCCGTGCCGCCAGCAGAGCAGGCACCAGGGCCCGGGCCCTGAGCCTTTCAGCAGCCGGGTCAGTGGCAAGGAGAAGAGCTGGGACAGGGATCCCCATGGAGACAGTGGGCAACAGGGTGCGAGGACAGCTGGCCCCGGGGTGTCAGGATGCTCCCCCAGTTCAGAGGTTTAGCTGCAAGGTCCGGTTTAGGGCACCTTGAGCCAGCAGTGCCCAGGAGCAGAGCAGAGGGGTGGCAGCAGGAACGGAGCACAGGGCCAAGCAGGCATGGGGCGCTCAGCAGGGCGCGGGGACAGAAACCATCATGGGGAGCTGAGGTTGGCTGCAGCTAGTCCGGCCCTGAGCCCCGGGCCCTATTTCTGCACATCGCCCTGCAGCAGGAGGATGATGGAGGGATCGCTCTTGGCCGCCTCCTTGAACTCCTCCAGGGAGATCTGGTCGTCCTTGTCCTTGTCCATCTTTGTGAAGATCTTGTCGACGCGCTGCTGGGGCGTCAGCCCGTCTTGGTTCATCCGCATCATGATCACAGTCCCCACCATCTTGTAGATGGCCTGGAGCAGGGAGAGCAGCAGGGTGGAAGCTAGGAGGTGCTGGGACACGGCAGGGCTGCTGCCCCACACAGCCACCTTTCAGCCGAGGTTCCAGACACCAAAACCCATTCTTTGGTGGCCAAATGGGCCCCAAACCTGTGAAAAGCCCACAGAAAACGCAAGCTACCCCGTTTACTGGAGCAGCAGTACCTCAATGATCTCCAGCATCTCCAGGCGCGTGATTTTCCCGTCCCTGTCCAGGTCGTACATCTCGAAGGCCCAGTTGAGTTTCTGCTCAAAGGTCCCCCTGGAGGTGACAGACAGGGCGCAGATGAACTCTCGGAAGTCGATGGTGCCGTCGCTGTTCTTGTCGAAGGTGCGAAAGGCGTGCTGGGCAAACTTGGAGGCGTCACCATAGGGAAAAAACTGCGGGCAGAGGAGAGGAGAGAGATTGGAACAGGGAGGGGAGCTCACAGGGAGCAGCGCTCGGCACAGCAGGAGGGGGTGCTCCGACCCCACGGGTTGTGCCCACTCAGAGCCCACCTTGATGTAGAGCTGCTGGAACTCCTCCAGATTGAGGATTCCGGTGGGGCAATCCTTGAGGAAGCCCTTGTACCACTGCTTCAGCTCCTGCTCGCTGAACTCCGTGCTCCTCACCAGGTCGTCCAACATCTCTGGGGCCAGCTTGCTGCTGTGCTTGCCCATGGCTGTGCCTGGGATGGGAAACGTGGGGCTCTGTGAGGTGTACGGGGTGGCCGTGCTCCCCAGCACCCGATCAGCCCCACACAACTCCCACAGCGGAGCCAACCGTCCCGGCTGGTGGCACTCACACACTGCCAAATGCCACCGCAGTGACTGCTGTTCTGTGCCACGGCATCCAAACGAGGAAAAGTCCCACCTGCAGCTCCCACCCCACAGCGCTGCACCCGCAGTGCTGCACTGCATACAGCAGCCCCAGTGACACAGCCGTGCCGGCTCCCTCACAGCCCTGCTGCCGCTGCTCAGCCCGAGCAGCAGAGGGTTCGATGGAGCTCCCGCAGCTGCTCTCCATGGATAAAGTTGAGGACAAGAAGCTCACTGGGGCACTCTGGGATGACAAGGTGTGGGGGCGGCTCGGAAGCTCCATCCTCGACACCCGCAGCAACGCGGCCTCGACGGCACCGGCCCCGACGGCCGCCCCGCCGCGGCCAGCGGCTCTCAGCCCCGACGGCCCCCCCCCGTCCTCTCGTTACCTGTCCGAGCGAAGTCGGTACCGCTGGCGAAGGGGCAGCGCTGCCGCCCCCGGCTCTACCCGCGCCGCTCCCGCCCCTCTCGCAGCCTCGAGCACCCGCCCCCCCCTCCCCCGGCACCGTCCGCCCATTGGCTGGGAGCGCTGTCAATCGGTGGCGGGTGGGGGGCGCGAAATGTGATGCTGGGGGGCGTCCTAGGGGGGCTAGAAGAGGAAATGGGCACCCGAGGGCGGCAGCACCGATGTCCGGGCGGGTCACAGCCTGGAGAAGAGCCCCCGCACCTCCCGTTCCGCTGCCGCCCGGGAGAGATGCTCGTTCCCAGCGCGGAAAGCGGAGCGTTTCCATAGCGATGTCTCTGCCTCTCCCCGATGGTTTTCCCCCCCCCCACCCCCCCCCCCCCCCCGGCGCGGTCTGGGCAGCGGGGCAGTGCCTGCAGCCACCAGGGCTGGGCCCGGAGCCGCGGAGCCACCCGAAGTCCCTGCGCGAATCTCACCCCCTCCGACGGGGCCAGAGGAACGGTTTATAAGCAGAGACAAATATTTGCAGCTGTGTATACACAGCGTGGCTGCAGGGATGCATCACTTCGGGGGCGGGAGGACCGGATCCCCTCGGACCCCCCCTGGGCCGAATGCATCGTCCCTGCGCCGCGCCGTGCCCGTGTGCGGGGCCGGATCCCCACCCGAGGCTGCACGGAGCGGCGGGGAGCAGCGGGGAGGGGGCGCGGCGGGGGACGCGGCCAAGGACGGCGCAGTGCCCCCTCCCCGCGGCTCCCGACCCCTCCCCGTCCCACACCGCCGCGGGATGCAGAGGGCAGCAGCTTCCCCCGGCGGTGCGGGCGGGGCTGTGCCCACGGCGGAGCCGCCATAGGGTGTCACCCCACGGAACGCCCCGTTTTCCGGTGCTCGGAGCCCTCCACCCGAGGCGGTTGCGGGGATGGGATGACAGTGGCACCGAGTGGGTCCCTCTCGCTGCACCCCCCCAGCCTCCAGCCCCCCAGGACGCCCTGGGATAAGGACAGGAATGTGGAGGAGCGTCGCCCCGGGCCTGCAGCACCCGACCCCCGGGGTGCGAGGCGTCCCCGCGTCCTACAGCGTGCAGAGACCCGCAGGGCCGCGAACTCTGCCAGCCGGCACGCAGCGGGTTAAGCGTCCCCGGCTTCCTCGCACTTGAGACGTCACCGTCCCCGGTGGCGTGGGGGGGCCGGGGGCCATGGGGGGCTTTGTGGTGCAGTCGGCAGCCGGCGCAGGGCTGCACGCAGCGGCGGGCGGCTCTTCACCCCGCACCTGCGTTGCGGGAGCGACCGCACGCACCGGGCGCTGCCGCCGCCGCCACGGTGAGAACGGGGCCGGGTCGGGGCGGGGGGCGGTGGGGAGACCCGGGAGGGGGTGGCGGTGGCGGGAGGGTGCAGCCCCCGGGATGCTGCAGCCCGGGGGGGCTCTGCGGCTCCGCACCCCGGAGCCGTGTGATAAATCGGCCGCGTCCGCAGCGGAGCCGGCGGGGAGGGTGGGGGCACTGCTGGGGGTTCGGCTCCCAGAGCGGGGGGGGGGGGGGGCGGCCGCGCCGGGGGTCGCCCGGGGGCAGGATCCAGCCCTCGTGCCGCGGTGCCCCTGCTGGGAGGGATGCTCGTGGAGATGGTGCGGAAATAATCCTGGGGACACCGCGGGCGTGGCTGGGGGGGGACCCTGCTGTCCCCAGCGCCGCATCGGCTGCACACAGCGCTCAGTGCGTGGAGTGTCCTTCGTGGGGGATTTGGGGTGCGTGGTCCCTGTGTGGTGACGGGCAGAGGGGAGGCAGGGAGCAAATCTCCCTCCTGAGAGCCCCCCACAGTGGCATGTGCTGCCCACCACTTCTCCCACCTCACATCATGGGCCAGTATGGGGGGAGTAGGAATGGTGCAAATGGGGCACTGAATCTCCGGCCCCACGGGGGACCATAAGGACACAGAGGGGCCCAGCCTGGCGCTGCCACACATCTCCATTCCCTGGCACAGGGCAGAGGGGCTGCAGCCATCCCCATCCCTCCCCCAGCGCTGAGCCCCACACCAGGGCCAGGCCTTGCACCCATGTCCCCACAGGGACCCATCCGTGCTCCTCCCTGGGTGCCCAGCACCCCAGATCCCAGTCCTGAGAGCTGTGCTCTGCCCTTCAAGGACAAGCTCTGTGCGGCCGTGAGGATGCGATACCATAATTTATGCAAATGCCTGAGCAGAGCGGGTGAGGTCCCCCTCCAGGCTGACTGCCCCCAGCACCACCCTGCAGGGCACAGAACCCCAAAAGCTCCCTGATACCCATGGGGCGCAGTGGGCAACCCTTTGTGCACCCCACAATGGGGTGCAGGCAGCAAAGAGCAAAGCCAGCCAGCAACATGGGGACAGCCACCCATGGGGTGCTTCGGGGTGATGGGGGATGGTTCAGCACCACGTGCCCCATGGGGTCCCCACCCGGGAGGTCTCCACGGGGGACGTGGTGCACAGGGGATGCTCGGCCGGTGCCGGTGTGGAAGCATCGACTGCATCTCGAGGAAGCGCTGGATGGCTTCCAAAGCACCGGCTGCTGGCAGTGAGAGCAAGCAGAGGCAAATAAGGTGAAGGCTGGAGGGCGTGTGGGGCTGCCCCGAAGGGCCGTGAGCCGCCCAGGGGCTCTGACCCCACACCCCCCTGCAGGTCCCCACCGGCCCATGCAGTAATCAGGGCGCGTGGCACAGCACCTGCTCTCATCAACGCTGCACCGCACACTGAGGTAAGGAACCAGGGCTGCAGCCACGGTGTGGGTGATGGGCTTGTAAATCGAGTCTGTGGGGCAGCAATCCTGGTGTGGGATCCTCCCCACCCAGCCCTGCCTGTTAGGGCTGCCCATAGCGTGGGTTGCGTGGGGAGGACACCTTGTCCTGAGGGCTGCTCTGGGGCGGTGAGCAGCACCCACAGGAAGCGCAGCGCTTCTCTCCCTGCCTCTAGAAACTGAAAACACAGAGAGCAGCCTCACATCCACTCACAGCCTTGTGCTCACAGCTGGGAGGGCAGCGGGGCTGGGGGCAGAGGGGTGCAGGTAGGTGCCGCCATGGTGGGGGGTGAGGGGGTCCAGGGCGCGCGGTGGCAGCGCGGTGCTGTTCCACTCTGTGCTGTTTCTCTCGCTCAGGTCTGCTGGCCATGGGCAACCTGATAAAGGTATTGGGCAAAGATTTAGAAAACTGTCCTCATTTTTTCCTGGATTTTGAAAGTAAGTCCCGTGAGCAGGGTGAAGTGGGGAGGGGGCTGGGGCCGCTGCGGTGGCCGCTCCCCAGAAGATGGGGACAGGCACAGAGTCCTCAAGCAGCATCGTGTCCTTGAGGCTGTCCTGGATGCACCCTACAAAGGCTGCATGGGGCTGGGGAGCGAGGCTAGACCCGAGGAGATGTCCCACACCTGCCACAAGGGTCCTGCATGGGGACACATCCCAGCCAAGTGAGGAGGACATGGGACACGTGCCAGGACCCGGCACAAGGGACGTGCCCGTTGCTATTAATCAGTGGCACTTGGAGGCCATGCAGCAAGTCCCCCTGTCACCATGGCTGGGACAGCCTGAAGGCTGGGGATGCCGGGAGCGAGGCGGGAGGACCTGTGGCACAAGGGTTGGGCTCAAGCACCCCAGTGCCCGCAGGTTCCTGGTACGATGCCTGTGGATGCAGCTCAGGGATGCTCCTGTACAGGCTGCGTACAGGGATGCGATGGCAGAGGTGGCCGTGGCGGGGGGCTCAGCCTGGCGCAGCCTCCAGCCCCTTCCTGCCTCCCCCCTCCTTCCTCCCAGAGCTCAGCGCAGAACGAGAGCGAGGGGCGTAAATATAGAGCAGCAGCAACCGCGGGGCCCGGCCCCAGCCACGGCGGGAAGAGGCTGCGCGCAGCTCCGCATCGCCGCCAGCACCAAGCATCCCAAAATAGGCAGCGCGGCCGGGGCTGGGACCGCAGCAGGAGGGGCCCTCGGTGCACACAGCCCTCTCCATCCCTCTGCGCGGGGCTGCGGCCGCTCCCCAGGACCCCCATTCTGGGACTCACCCACCGCATCGCCCTCCTCGCTGGAGCCCGGCGGCTCTCCTCGCTCCGCTCCGCTCCTTCCGCTCCATCGTTCATCGCAGCGCCCATCTCCATCCGGGAGGAAGAGGGCCGGGAGGACGGGCTCTGCCCCGCTGCCCGCAGCACCTCTTCCCCGATCCCACCTCGCCGTCATGCTTTTTTCCTCTTGTTTCTTCTCTTGCAGGTTTCACATGGGGAACCTTCTTAAAGTGTTGACTTATAACGAACTTGAACAAGGCCCTAATTTTTTCCTTGACTTTGAAAGTGAGATGGGATTTTTATTTTCCTTTTTTTGTTTCTTACCTTATGAGTTCCACATCCACGCCATTTGAGTTCCCATGCCCGCCGTCCATCGCACCGCCCCCATCCCAGACGCCCGCCCCATTGCCGCCCCAGGGATCTCCTCGGGGAGGGGGCAGCCCCACGGCCGG